TGGAGAAGTAGATGTGGAATTTTTGTTGGGATGTCCTTCAATCACCAATCGGTTGTGCATTTTCATTGAGATAGCCTTCATGTGTATTTCCAATCAGACGATAAGGAGCTGGGCTACTCACGTGACCAAAAAAGGTTATTGAACTCATTCAATCTGTGAGACCGTCTTGGGTCAACACACCGTACAGACCTGACCTTAACCAGGTACTACCTGATGGGTTTCACACGCACACACACACACACACACACACACAGGAAAGGACCACAAGATTTGCTATTCTGATGAATGGAAATCGCGAAATCTGCTTACACTGGAAAAGCAAACTTGCTGAACTATAACAGGACATATCCAACGAACGGCAACAGAGCTGTCGTAGAATTGTGTTCAACAGAGCGGAAATACATTGCAGCGGATGGGGCAGAAGGGAGAACCAATCTATTCAGAATAATCCTAAAAAATGTTGATCTGAATGTGATTTTGCAGAAGTTGATCCCACTGATATAGCTGAGATATCACCAGATCAACTTCAACAAGTTCTTCGAAAAACCGCGCTTCAAGTGTACAAGACTACTGTCAACTGCTTGAACTCGAACCCTAACTTCATGTATGTGGATGAACCGATTGAGGTAGAAGGTAAATTTGACTATCTGGACAAGATTATCAGTCCCGGTGGCGCATGATGATGATGATGATGTTTTCATCTGGATTGGGAAGACCAGAGCAGCTTTTGTGAACCGGAGTCACCTGTGGCGTGGACGTGACATCAGCTTATCCTTCAGGGGTCGAGTTTACAACTCTGCGGTGCGCTCCATATACGGCCCCTGCGCGCCGAGGGCGTCAAAAGACTTTCAGTGTTTGACCATCGATGTCTTCGGAGCATGGTCCGAGTCTGGTGGGAACACCGGATCAGCAATTCTGAAGTACGTCGAATGGTATTCGGGATAAATAACTCACCTTGGTTAGATGAACTGACCACATTGCATAGGTTGAGCTGGCTTGGCCACGTGCTGCGTATGCCAGTCGACTGACTTCCTGGAAGGCTGTTTTTGCCACAACCACTTGAAGGGTGGAAGAGAGCCAGAGGCGGTCAAACGATGACTTGGCAGCGAAGTATGAAAGCCATTACCAGCAAACTCAGCTGCGCTGGTCATTGACGTCTTCCTGGATTGGAGACATTATCAGACATGGTCCAGCCGCGTCCCCAATGGCGCTCATACATTCAAGCTAATGCCTTCAATGCACAGCTCCCTTCCAAACCCCCCACTTAACAGTCCACCTTCAGTGCTGTATTCACGCGCTAATTTATCAGCTCCCGCCTCCAATGCGCAGCTACAACCACTGTGCGACAAGTACGGCGGTTATTACTGCTGACAATGATGATGATGATGATGATGATGATGATGATGATGATGATGATGATGATGTTGGGCGTACTCCCAATCATTATGGTGACGACAAGACCCTCTTGATAGCGTATCATTCAATCATCTCTACGTTTTCTGTCTGTGCTGAGTGTAGTCGGCACCTAGTTTTCCCTTTGTCGCATCTTTCGAATTTTTCGGTCGAGCTTGCAAACCTACGAGCTATACTGTTCGATAGCGCTTAGTTTCCACTGCTTGGTTCTTACAGGTTCTTGATGTCAGCCGTTCATCTTAATTGTGGGAGCCAGATTCTCTTCCGGGCTGCACAGGAGTTTATATTTCAGGCTCTCATAGGCCACTTGTTTTCATAGGCATACAGGAGATCACCCAACAGGGTACGTGTGACCTTTTTTCATTATTTTAACTCATGGATATCATTCTAGGTTGCTGTGGTTACTTGTCATTTATTCATGAGAAACAGTTGACTGCCTCCAACATTTAGTGTGACAGTTCTCCCCTGTTATTTATCTTACATACCTGGACCCGATCCACAGCCGCTAGTTTGGTGTGATAATTTGTTTAGGTAATACTGAAGGGTACATTCGAGATCGAGATAACTCAGTGGTTAAGACACAAACTTACTGATCGGAAGGTCCGTGTTTCGACCCAACCTCCGCAAACTTACTGATCGGAAGGTCCGTGTTTCGAACCCAACCTCCGCACATCGACTGCTTCTGTCTGTGTCTGGGCAACCTAATAGCATTTCGGTCCTCTCTCTTCCTTCGGGTGGCATGCCCGCTAGGCGTCGAAAGGGTGTTAAAGCTTAATGGTTATTTTTCTGTTCACTGGAGTCTGTTCATGCCAATGAGGTTATCAAACGGCAACCAACCAAACGCCTTCAAGAGCCAGCGTCCATAATCGTATAGCAAGGCCGTCGGAAGATTTTTCATACGACTGCAACAGTAGCAAAGTGCCTTTCATATGTCATAAATAAGAGACTGAGTTAGGATTTACTTAGGCCCCTGTCAAAATCGACTCAGTTTGCAAGTAAGTGGGTGAGATGGCTCAGTGGTTAGAGCGCGAAGTTACTGACCGCAAGGTCCGTGGTTTGAACCCAACCTCTGCATCATAACTTCCCCTATCTAGGGTTGGGCCGCCTGGCAGTATCCTTGTGCTTCCTTTGAGTAGCATGGCAGCTAGGCTTCGGAAGGGTGCTACGGTTGATCGCAAGTGAGTGTAGTTCACCTTTAGCAAGACGCCTTCCAGCGTCTGCATTCTTCTGTATGATTTGAAACTACTTTCGAGGGAACTATCCTCCAAAGCTTAACCCTCCACCAAAGACGTGACCTTGATCGATGGCTCAGTATTCGTTTTTTTGGGATACACAACTCTACCTAAGGGGTACCGATATATCAGGAGGTAACATTTTGCCCCAGTGGTTAACCCTCCGACTGACGGACAATGCTTTTTTGAAGTCTCACGGGTAGTGGCTTCTCATGAGACTTGTGTGGATTTTTGCTACTTTATTATAAGCCTCAGCTTGTTTCCTACTACTCACGCTGTTGGAGCAACATGGTGGTAGCTTGATTTGTTTTGCCCTCTAAACTGTTGAGCTGCTCAATTTCGCTACGACCAAGGTGCATCCGGACAAGGTATCTCAAGAGAACCTAAGAGAATGTAATATAAATATGGGATTTGGATATCAGGTATAATGCTTTAAATTACACCAGTAAGGTGCTGATCAGTGTTCAGATGCTTGTACAACTACTGAGAGATTACACTTACAATCTTGCATAAGCCAAACAGTGTCTTGGTTATATTATTTTGCATTTCACTATCACCCGTCATCTGAATTTCGCAATCGCGTTTTTTTGGGGTGACGTTTAATCCAATCGTACACGAAAGGTTCGGACGGGTGTGACGAATATCGTACTCATCGTTTGCACTTAATAATCTGCAGGTTGCACATCCTAACAAAAGTGTGTCGAATGGAATGCAGTTCTTGCGAATTATGGAACTGCACATGTATGTGTTCAATCCGTCCTGTCATGTTTTCTCGTTGTTCTCCTTAATTTAACATCGACCGCAGTACAGAGGCCAAAAGACGTTTCTTTCAGGGCCACATAGGGACATATAAGTTGTCCAAGCACGCGTGTGAAATGTGCATCGTCGGTTGTACGAGAAAAGATCGTTCACCCTATTAAGTCTCGAGAATGTCCTCTATATAACGATTCGAAACCAGTGAGGTGCAGTGGTTGGTTCTTACCGTTTAAGGCCACTTGTTTGGCGACAACGGTGGCACAAAACAGCCTATGTACTTCAAACACTAGCATTTATTGGGCTGCTGCTTAATCAGGCAATAGATCCGTATTCGTGCGAGCCTTACAAATGTGCACTTGGCGAAAACGCAGATCCGTAGTTTACTTCGTACTGTTTCTGCTACCGTCGCTCATGTAGCTTTGACCATCTTTTCACTTTGGATTCTTGGACATCTCATTTAAGTGTTCAGAAATTGAGTTTGTGTAAAACCACTTGAACTGTACTAGCGCGAATCATGTCGGCCGAAGATAGTTTGCCTGTTGGCTTGGTGAGTAAGGTACCGTATACCACTGATCCATTCGCACTTCATAGGCGTTTATTCGGTCTCATGTGTTCATCATTTTATGCTTACCGTTAATCCCTCGTGTGTCCACTTTGTGTTAATCTTCGCTAATCGTATTCTGCAGATGCAGTGTATTGAAGCCCACCTTGCAGTTTAGTTCAGTTTGGAGTGCACAGTTGTTTTCTCCTCAGTGGTTAAATGCTTTAACAGTGATGCATTAGCCAATGTTTTTTTGGAATAAACTTTCTGTGTCAGTAGACGTAATGATGACTGTATTTGTGGGAAATCGCTTCGCTACAGGGCGTGTTTTTCGCGTGTTTCCATCCCAGGAAGACAATCTGCCCAGCACGTATGTCCACAAAACGCACTCCTTCGTCTGGGAGGAACAAATGGCAGCCACCGGGTTCTATAAGTTTTTCCGCTGCTCAAGACGAAGATATAAGTGGTCTGGATGAAGCGGTTCAAAGCTTTAGTAGAGCTAACCAAGCAGTTTTACCGAATATTTCGTCAGCCACTGGACCTGTGAGTGCTTACTTTGCGTGCTGTGATATCCTAGGCTGGTGATGTGTTTTTAGAGCGTAGCATGTGCCCATTTAATAGTGTCGTTCAGCTAATCAACAGCTAGTTTCTGTTGGAGGAGGTAGTTATCAGAATGGATATAGGAGGAAATACGTTCATAATTTTTGATTAAGGGTCAGACTCCTTTCAGTTTCGGCACACTACGAGAACTGAACGCTTTCACCTTATTGTGATAAAGATTTCATCCATTTCTACCGAATAAGTTTGACTGTCTTGGGCAAATATTTACGAAGCTTGACTGGTCACCCTTAGTTGCAGTTTCAGATGATTCATTTGAGGCCTTTTTATTTTCGGGTTAACTACTTTACTCAACAACTACCTGATCCTTCGCCGGAAATGCTCTTTTTCCCAAAACCGCTGCGGGCGGAATGAAAAGTTCTGCGTAAAAATGCATTTTGTTGTGTGTATGCTCACATCAATAACCACCTCAATCTACCTTCATTTTGTCGTGATTTTTGTTTGACCCTCATTCTCAGTTATTGGTGCACATTCGATTTTAAACATGCGGCACTGTGGCTTCAGCTGTTTGTTGAGAATTAGCGGCTGTCCGGTTTTCCACTCTCACGGCATTCGAGAATGGGTTAAAGGAATATATGACGGATAACTGCGTGGCAGTTGTGCGTGTAGTGAGTAATCGAAGCACCAACGCTGTTTTGCATTACAAGTAGGTGTAATACAAATGCAACAGGCGGCCAGAAAAATCAACGGAATATCGAGGAATCCGAAGAAGCTGGTAAACTGAGCGTATTTGCTATCAACAAACAGTGCGCGAAGCACGGACTAACTAGTGCGTTCTTCTCTGGAGAGACACGGGAACTACCTCTTAGTTACCGTTTATTTTCCTGAACACAAACATAAGATGACCAAGTGGTTGTACGATCGGCTTCCGGTGAATAGATGGCTAACTGAAGCACAGTTGGGCACCTACAGGGCCCTGCTGAAGTACAGGCATCGTGACCCCTAGCCGAATGTTGTGTGCGTCAGCTAGGTTCATTCAGCTGTCCGTCATGATCGACATCGATCACATCCAGCTAGTTGGTAAGGCGTCATGAACCCCTTGCCGCGTGCAAGTCGTATGTGTTGGCTAGTTCCACACAGCAGTACGCTCTGATCGAGAATATGATCGCCCTGGCATGTTTTGCCAGTTACAATGGAGAACTGTGCTGCAGTTTACCGCAAAACTTGACCTACGGGTACAGGTCATCATCTGTTCTTCAAACCTCATGCGAGTTATGCAAAAATAATGAACTCATCTATCGAGACGACCGCATTTCTCGAGACCCCACAACACAGAATTCGGTATGCGTCCAGTCAAGCAGAATATACATAGCAAAAACTAATTGCGGGAGTGACACCGCACATTTTGCGTTCACAAGCACAGTGTAGACCGTAGAAAGCCCAATGAATTATTACGGCTGCAGAATGACCTGTGACTTTCGTCCATTGTAAGCAATTAACGTTTTACTGCAGTTCGCAAAATCTTATTCCATTAGGCACCGTTTTTCCAATCGGTGACTGGCGACCTTGACGATTCGCTTACTTGAACAAATCATCCATGTAGATAATTCGCAGAAAAATTCATTCTTCAGTATGCGAGGTGATACCCATGAAAACTTTGTGGTTTTCAAGAACTCAATTTCGTTTTGCGAATACCGTGCGGCCAACAACTGACTTTTCTTTACTTTTATTAAAAGCCGCGCCTTTCCAATCCTGTAACTTTGGCTCCCGATTCTGGACTACAACAACCAGCTCTTGATAACAACTCCCCGGTGTCGTTTGAGCTTGCGGTGGATGCCACTTCAATCATGGATGATGAACTGGGATCGGTGGCGGCGCAAACATCCGTGTCTAACTTACTGATGGACGCTCTAAATGATGGGCCATCTGACGTCACTGTCGCTGCGACCAAGCTGCAACAAGACACTGTTGCTACAGATCCAATCGTAATCACTGGGCGATCGTTGGATTCCGAAGCAGACGTTCTTGTGCACCATGTTTTACCCAGGTAAATTTGGTAGTCAGTGTTTGTTTGTGCACTTATCTCCTACTCCACCTTAAGAATTACAGCCACGGGCATTTCCTGAGATACGCACACTTGTAGTGGCGTGATTTTTCTCGTTGACGTACCCTACTAGATATACTTTTGGTAGTTCCTTGGTCCGTGTTGATGGAGTTAAAACTGTACACAGTATCTGTAGACAGATGTTACTGTTCTGTTACCACACGGACGAGAGCAGATGTTCACGTGAATCACTGCTAGAGCCTAGACATTCCTTTCACTGTCGTTTGTTTCTTACGGATTAACTAGTGCAAGTGCACAGCAGTCCGGTGATTACGTGTTAGCGACTGTTTTCAAAGTGTGTAACTCTCCCTGCTTGTTGAAAACCCTCAGAGATAAAACACCAAATGTGTTTGCCCGTGGAGCTAAAGCGGGCATGAAATTCCGTTTCTTGTCAGATATTTGTTTTCATTACTGGAGAATTTGGTGTAGTCAATTAAAATGTCCTGACACTCTACACCAGCGGAGGCCTAAGGTTTAGAAAAATTCAAATTCCAAGCCTACGAGTGACGGGTATTATGTGTAGTACATGTTGTTTATCTCAGAATGCTGTCCAAAGCTACTTCAGCTTTTCAATGGTACGTTTTAGTTGGAGCCCACTGAGACCGTTTTCATAAATTTCCGCTGTACAGAGGGCTAGTTCTCTGTAATATCATTCTTAATGCTTGGTTTTGATCAGGCTTAATAGTGGTCTTGTTCACCATTTCCAACTTTTTTGTGATTCACCACGATCAAGCCCTCATTTTTCAGTCTTCCTATTTTATATGAATGCATTGGTGGACGAGTGATTTGGCTGTTTATGATGCAAGCCAATCCAAATTCGAATGGGCGATCGGTATGTTCAGATGGTGATAGGACGTAGCATTTATTGGCCGTCGTTATGTAACTTTTAGAATGGATGAATCTTGTTTTGTATGATTACGCTAAAGAATCCCGCCGTGCAGTGAATGCCAAAGTAGAGATAAGCCCAGGACAATAGCATACTGGTTTTTAGGATCGAGATGACGGGTGCATGTTTGGAGTATCCATCTGATATGTGATTTAGTGTACACCAGTCAGTCAATCACTCCTGGCTTTTGTTATCTCATAGCTAGTTGCTGTCCGATTTTTAGTCGGAAGATCGTTTCGCATTTGGTCATTCAGAAGGGAAAGTTGCGCTTGCTGCTGATGCTATCTCATAATTGATGAACCTCGATTACTCAATCTGTGTTGTTTTCGCACGCGTTGTCGACTGTTTTTCACACAATTGTGTATCGTCTTCGTGTGTCTGAATTGTTTTGATCTAACCGACGCGTTCATTTTGTGCCCGCGCAACATTTCTCAGATCTTCTGCACCGGATATTTGTATGGTTCCTACTGCGTCCAACTTGGATGATCCGTTCACCTCTCCATCTGCACCAATCCGGCCACCTCCGTTCCAACCACGAGCCCCACCTGAACCGGTGGCAGCCGCAGATATCCACGCACTCTTAGATTCCTTTACACCGCCTAAGGGGAATGGAATTCTTGATTCAGAGCCCAGCAAGCGGACAGCGCCGCCTATACCACCTTGCTTTATTGCTCCAACCAGTTCATCTAGTTTGGAGGAAGATCCGCTGAACATTAGTGATCAGGTATGAGTGTACCAGGTTGATGACCGTTCAAGTAACTTCGTGGTGCTCATATCTTGCTATTACTCGGTAAGCGACCATGGTGTTGGAAGCTTGCTGGGAAAGCTTAGCGTATACGCGAGCTAAAGGACTTTTAAGTGAAATACACATATGATTATAGTGTTATATATGCCTGTTGGGGATATCAATATCCCCCAGAAAACGCTGTTTTTATGTGTGCTAGCGAACTCCTGGCATCTTCAAGGTCAAACTATGAAAAATCAATGGCCTATTGATACTCCAAGAAAATTCAAATCCGACCACGTACAGGGTACCATTCTTTCCACGGACTTGGGTTCGGAAGCTCCGGGCATCGCCTGTTGATTTGTTTTTGGATTATTAAAGTTTGTGTCCGAGGTTCTCGTCTTCTTACTATTCGCCGTGCTAGGAGTCTGTATCAAGCAACATAGCTGGGGATAGAGTATTGCCACAATCCGCATTATCATATTGTTTGCTCGCTGCGTGACCGAACCGTAACATATTTGGCGACGCAAGATGGAGGCAGAACAACTCAAAGTAATGTTTGAGCAACAACTGCAACTCATCAAAGTACTTACGGAGCGACTATCAACTACATCTTTGGCTTCACCGGCGGCGTCGAGTGTCCCACAGTCGGTTGATGGAATCGCTGGCAGTATCAACGAATTTTGCTATAAACCCTCAGCTGGCATAACGTTTGATGCTTGGTTTCGTCGCTATGAAGACCTGTTCAGGGTCGATTTTTCACTTCAAGATGATAGTTGGAAGGTTCGCCTCCTGCTCCGCAAACTTGGACCCGCAGAGCATGATAATTTGAGCTGAAAACTGAGACAGCTTCGAAAGAGGAGAGTGTGACCGGCAGCTCAGTATTTGATCCAACACTTCTTCCCAGGCGGTGGACAGACCGACGCCGCCGCCAGCCGGAGCGTATCCAGGTCGACCCCCGTCGAGTACGCTACTGACTTTTCACAAGGGGAGGTGTTGGGGATATCAATATCCCCCAGAAAACGCTGTTTTTATGTGTGCTAGCGAACTCCTGGCATCTTCAAGGTCAAACTATGAAAAATCAATGGCCTATTGATACTCCAAGAAAATTCAAATCCGACCACGTACAGGGTACCATTCTTTCCACGGACTTGGGTTCGGAAGCTCCGGGCATCGCCTGTTGATTTGTTTTTGGATTATTAAAGTTTGCGTCCGAGGTTCTCGTCTTCTTACTATTCGCCGTGCTAGGAGTCTGTATCAAGCAACATAGCTGGGGATAGAGTATTGCCACAATCCGCATTATCATATTGTTTGCTCGCTGCGTGACCGAACCGTAACAATGCCATCCATTAACGGCTAACCAATTTCCAAAGTCAGACAGCCAATCATCTGTCTGATTTAGGCGCTCTACTGTTTTGGAAACAGTTTTGCCATAGGAAAGATCTGCTGCCAAGCACCAGCTTCTCCGGGGCATTTTGAGCTGAGTATTGGACGCTCAGGCGACTCGGTCCCCTAGCTAGCTAATACTTTGCACAGATATGCCGAAAACCACGTATCTCAATTATCCACGGATTCCATGATCTCACCATCCCGATGGGGTATACCTTGCATCGAGGATTGTTTTCGATAGTCCCTTTGAGCTGGACATCAAAACTCCAATAATTTTTAGACGCATCTTTCAGATTCGATTAAAGTGTAATTTTTAGAGTCCTAAACGTTGCATTACTCCGGCATGGGAAATTTTTTGCGTTCCTACGGCACGTCGGTAACGGTCTCATAGTTTACATTCGTTCACGCTATTTTTAAAGAGTGGGGCTGAGGGCGCTTCTAGCCATCGAAAAACTGAAATTTGTTTTCGGTGGTCATCAAATGAATAAAGAAACGACGTGCAAAGCTTCAGTTGGCACTTTCTGGGAACCTGTGTAATAATTGTCATTGACCCTTGTCCAGTTGACAGACTTACTGTTTCGTTTCCTGTAGCGGGTGCGGTAGTCACTCGTAGTATAAACAGCTCCTCAATTCTCACGCACGATCCGCGCACCAACATGTGTGTCCTCGTCTTAGTTTTCTTCAGTTGCTTGAACCTACTGCTAGTGGTCTTTAGCAACCTTTAATTTTGTGTATTGCCTCAGACTGTAATCAGAAACGAACCAAGCGACCCACCCCATGAAACAAGACTGACGGAGCTATTTTTGTAAAAGCAAACGTGTGAAGTTGGTTCGATATTGAGCCATCACAACGCAAATCGGCACCGTCCAACTCCTCTCAGTTAACCGCCGATATGTTAAGCTTCTTCACCACCGTCTAAGCTTTTTTNATTTGAAGCGGTTCAGATCCTAGTCTAGCATCTCCGTAGAGCAATTTAAGCATTTGGAGAAACCGAAGGGTAATAACAAACCAGTTTAGTCCTACTTATAGTGTATGTTTTAATATTACCTACGCCTACGGGGCGGATGCACGCTGACCTTCTTTAGGGAAAGTGTGATCTACTGCAACAGGTGTCCAAGAGAAGCCTTACTTTAACAAGTACAGTCATTTGCATACCAACTTATTTTTCACTTGAGACTCACCTGAGTCCCAGCTGATTCTCTGATTTATGGCATTCAACTGAATTTGCTGCATCAGGTCGCCTCGTGTTTCAGTTGATACGGTATTTCAGATGTCCTAATATATTGTACAGACTTAATAAGCTACTCATAAGCTTTCTGGAAACTCTTCGACAGTCAAAGATCGGTCGCGTCATTCTTGGGGACTGCGCCTACCTGATGAGCCCCAAGAAGGGCGAAGCCGGTCGTGGGCTGTCGAGGAGTTTTCAGCAACCTTATGAGTAATGTGTTAGGCCTTATTTTGCTTTCATTGTGTTGTCTTACGCGCATGTACCCAGATACACTTCACTGGACAGAAGTATGTTAGTTATTGAAGCAGTCTCCACGAGAACGTGTTATTTAGTGCCTTTCGTCGCACGACAATTTGAGTGACGCTCGCGAACATGGGTTGTAAATGTGATCATCCCCTCTGCAATGACCACATCCGTGAGAACCTGACTCTAGGTACTTCCTTTGATGCTTTCCAAGAGAAGCGACTTTGTCTATCTCTTGGAATGCTCTTTCCAGGGGAAGTAAGCCTTGAAGGCACGGATAAATCATTCAACTAGCGTTTAGGCGTAGCTAAACTGACATCCAAGGATGTATTTGAGCTATACCTGAACAGTTCAAACAAATCAGAAAACATGACAGAACCCACCTTATAGATATTCAAGGATTAGCTTCAATTATTATTAGTGTAAGTGATTTTTATAAAGCACGGAAACTGGAATTTTTATGCCTGTCAGTTTTGGAGATTAGACTATTAATATCATAGTAGTCACTTCTGGCTGCTGGTTAATGGCCTTGTCTCCAATGAATATGATCCATAGCGCGTCTTGGGCGGTTCTTACCATTAGTGCTAATCTGATTGATTCACCCTAATATCAGAGTATCCTCGTTAAACATACCATTCTGGTTTTAATCCTTTATCTGTCAGCCACTGTCTTTTGGTGGGGATACGCAACCGAACGATGGGGCGTCAATGTTTCCTGATCAGACACACGCTCCTGAGTTCGGCAGAGGTGCATCCAGGTCTAGAAGCGAATCTCTGGGTTCCTTGGGGAAACTAACCACTCATCTTCCTCCGACAGCTGCGACTGTTGCTCATAGCTCTTTAAGTGAAGATGTACCACGTGTGACAAGACGCGTAAAACCTCGTCGGTCCCCAAAGTCTGGTACCAGGTAGGTTTTCATAGTCTACAAACTCCCCATTCTCTTCGCTTCTTATAGGTTAGTATTTATTGATCAGTACGTATTCTCCAAAAAAATAACTGCTCTTAGACTTCCTGGGCAGTAAACCTGGGAATTTTTCTTATGTTCAAGCGGAAAACTTATTGATGGTTCAGCTGCGCTTCATACCGTGTACTCATGCTGCATCGAAAGGCCTCACCGCGAATATGTGCCTATAATGCGCACTTTTGCAAGCGACTTAGTTATCCGCTCAACGATAATTTGGTGAATTTAACGGTTCCACTAAAGTATGGTGTTTCTCTAATGAAGCCCATTCGCTAGACCCGGACAAGCCCTGTTATTGTGGCATGTCCTATTTGGGGTGGGTCTTTTTCAAGGACACTTTTGCAGTACTGACGAAGCGATTCAATTTTTGATTAGTTCACAGATGACAACTTCTTGGGATTATACTTTGGAATGAATGATGTCTTCCTTTAGAAACCGGACTACTGCAACATTCTTATCTTAGCAACCACCGGATTCCTATACCAGTTTTACTTCCTTTATCGAATCCTTGACTAATCCCACATACTTTTGAACCGCATCACTGTGCATTACAGAATCCGTTGTTCGTTGCGATCTTTTGTGGTATTTTGCTCCAAAGCTGTTTTCGTTTCTTCCCGTTTCAGTGTCCTTACGGGAACTGGGCTCTTTTTCGCCGCAGGCCTTGTCCTCATTCTTGCGTCGTTCTATTTTTTCTCGGCGTTTGCTTGGGGCTTGGCGTTCGGGATCATCTGCACTTTGCTCGTAACTTGGCTGCATCGTATAATTTGGCCCAGTTCTGCCGACTCAGACATTCCGCTGTGTCACATTTCTGGCCTGCCCTTAGGTGAATTGTGTTGCTCCCTGCACTGCCAATCGGTGGCACCAGGCTGCGCTCCGAGTAGAACAACATGGTGGCCCATTTTTGCTCCGGCCATTCCTCCATTACGCAAAAATCCGCCACGGTTGCGTGACTTACAGCCACTAACTGTTCCGTACATGAAGGATGAAGATGTCAGCTCATCGGCTTTGAGTGGGCCTTTGGGTACTGGGCTTGGCTTCAGGTTTGACAAAGCCGACCGACCCATTTACAAGGGGTGGATGAATGAAGTAAGTCCATATATCCTGTCAGATGGGTGCTGATTTCATGTGTGATCTTGGAAGTGAAGCTCGGTACCGTGGTCAACAGTGCTGAAAATTTGTCCGGTATTAGCGGCGACTTTACAGTGCGATTGTTTTTGGCTTCATTGTTTGTTACCTGTACCCGTATACTGCTTTTCGTACGCGTACACATGAGTTCGTTTCCCAGTTCTCAGTGAGAATAGGGAATAAATCTGAGCTGATCGCCTGCATGGTCTGCTGGCTAGTTCATATCTTTGGGGTAAGATAATTGAGGGTATCAGATTTTGGGGTTAGTTACCTAAAGTGCCGTTTTACTTCAGCTCAAGAGGTTACATGGACACTAATTCTTCAGCGGATTCAATCGAGAATCACAGGAAATCAATAGTTATCTATTCACACCCTATCACAAGTGCATTAAGAGAAATCCGAAAAGACTACGAAAATGAATACCTCAGAAGCCTTAATAAAATTAATTGGGTGAACAGAACGTTTTATCAACAACGACGATGGCGTGAACCCCCAAGTTTCAACGTCTAGACATCTCTTCCTCGTACCACCGTGCCACGACGCTGCAGATCTCACAAGGTTATAGACGTTATGTATCATGTTCTAAGATGAGGGTCTGGCTAGGTGGAACCGCAGGACTTCGGTAATTTCCCGAGAAGACTGTTATCTGACGTATAAAATCTTCGAATTCGGCCTTTTTGGTTGATTAATCTCAGTAATGTCAGAACATTTCTCGCTGTTTTTTCCCGTCTGTTTTGTTTGAAGGACATACCACTATTATGAACGTAATTTTAAGAAAAAAAAGCCCCTTATTCTGACAGAAAAACTAATCTGCCTTCGATTGTATGAGTGCTTTCAATGGTGTGCATAGCTACATAGATATCGATAAAGCCATACCGTTGATTTCACCATTTCCAACGCGTGACACGACGAACCCAGGCATTCTTCACTTCCAGGCCTGCCTGATGTGTGTTGCTGTCAGTTACAGGAGGCTTTTCACGTGATAACGAATTTTGGGTTTGCTCAGCGGTGTGTGCATGCGTATTCTGCTCATAAACGTTGATGTTTTAAGGTGCTAACAGGTTTTTTGAAGGTCACGAGAAACATTTTGGTGTAGTCTGAATTCCGTCTTCACCAAAAGTGTCAACGGACGTAGCTGGATACCCCTTTGCACTCAATCGTCTGTATTAAGAAAGTAGGGTTACCCAGAGTGCCGTGCTGATTCTCAGTGTCTGATTTTCCCTAAGGCTATAAGGGAATGATGGTTTCACTATTTCACTTCATTGTGACGAGTTCCGTGATTTCCTGTGTTAGTTTTTTTCGAAGTTTTCAGGTTGCTCAGGTTTCTTTGCACCAGTCGACACAATCGCTTTGCGAACAGTGGAGTTTTTTCACCCTGACCTGTCTTTCCGCTCTATAAGACTCTGGGAAGGTACCTTTATTGGCTAATCCTCTCCTTCACCGTAGGTTTCCGAATATGATCCCGAAACACACCACGTCAGTCGGACGCATTCGGTATTCGTCACCCTGGACGGGACACAGCTCCGTCTACAACGCCCACGTCGGAATATTTCCAGACGTTCAATGTGGAATGAAGAGTTACCATCCGGATTATCAACGCGATTTCAGAACCAGCGTATTTTCGATTTGGTGCAAGCACGTGTAACATTACTGCCATCGGGGCTGGTGTCAAAGCGTCTTTGGAGCAAAAAGTACCCTATTGCCATCACGTTACCTCTTCAGCTGAACAGAAAGGTTAGTCTCTTTTCTTGTCTTCACCCGTGTATATTTGAAATCGCACGGGGAAGTGCAGATGGCTCAAGTGGTTAGAGCGCGCATTTACTGACCGGAAGGTTCGTGGTTCGAACCCGACCTATGCGCCTCGACTTCCCCTGTCTAGGCTTGGGCAACCTGGCAGTATCCCAGCCCTCGTGCAACCTTCGGGTGGCATGGCAGCTAGGCACCGAAGGGGTGTTACAGCTGAACGATTCTATATTTGAAATCGCATCGGGAAGTGTAGTTTGTACGTGCTGTTGATTAACTGTTATAAAACAACCTTCGTCTGTATGTGTTACAGTTGCCACAATTATCAGTGTGCTGTTTTAAATCAACGCATTTCTTTGATGGTGTCAGTGATCTTAACAACTTCGCTGCAACCGCTTGCCGGAGCATGTGTATCCATCATAAGCATCTCAAGTCATGTAACATCGTCATCATCATCACATCGCGCTTGTATGAGTTGACTGGCGTTATGCAATCTGTATCAAGAGAGATAGCTCGTGTAGCGTCTAAAATAGAACATCAGTGAATAAAAGACCGGCAGCTTTTCAGAGTTACGACTTGGAGAGTAAGTGGTGCACTTCAGGATGAACTTCATTTGGCGGTGTACACTATCGACCACTTGCTCTTTTGCAACAGTGTCAATATGTCACCACTAACGAAATCTGCGTAGACTTTACTCACGTACTCTGTCATGCTACTTTTCAATCAGGTTACAAGTTTCATGCCACTTTAATGTAAGGATTGCCTAACCTGTGGCTCGCCTGACTGTCATCTCTGTTAGCCCAATATCACTTCGGGATTCCTGCCCTTTTTGCTTTGGATAGACGCTCTCCAGCTTCCCTTATGACCTCTGGTTAAGTTGTACGTCTTTTGGGCTTATTTGCAAATGTTTTCCGTAGTTTACAGCGAAGACATTTTACCTCATGTGGTTGAGACTTCGGGTAGACATTTGAATTTTCACTTGCCTTCTATTAAAGACGAGTGAGACGTTGGGCTCAAAGCAATCCCTGCCATCTTCAGTCAGTGTACCAAACATGCGCATGCAGTCTGTGGCTAGCGCTTCGCAGTCACCAATCAAACATCATTCCCAGGCGGCAACGGCTGAGACTGTACGAAGGAAGGACAATTCACAATCACATACTTCAACTGACCTGGTTGGAGATGATTTCTACGTCGTATCGCACGGCGATGCCTCAGTGGAGACGCTGTACCTTTTTGGTAGAACGTGTCGTGAGAAAGAAGCCTGGTATGGACGTCTTCGTGCAGCTTCCCTAGGCGTACCTTTGTTTTGGACACCACAGTTGGTAAGCGAACATTCGTACTATTTCTGTATTCTTGGGTTCGATGTCAAGTTACCGCACCTACCCACAGTCCTCTGTTGTTCGTTTGTTTAGCCTGAAGAAACAGATGTACAGATTTTAACATTTCCTCTGGTTTAGTTATCTCGTTAATTTTCGGCAACTGTAAACCACCTGTTTCCAATGCATGTTCTGCCACTGACCAGCTAAAGCTTGTCTTTAGGCTGATCTCGATATTTCTCGGCCGTCTTTTATGAATGTCATCAGTTACTCTACTAGTGTTGGATACATCGCAGCCAAAAGTGGGCGGTAGCAGCTATTAGAATTGGTCGAATATTGAAATTCCGTAGCTCGTCTTATGCGGAAAACAAAACTGTACACACAGTTTGCTGCTACTGCGTCCTTAAAAAGTTCTGTTGCGTACCTGTGCCGAAGTCCTGGATTGTCAAGTTGTGAATTCCGTTCATGTGGACTTTGACCGTTTCGGTCGTTTGGTACTTTACCCAAGGCTGGTGTGGTAATCTAGGTTTCTCATATCCTTTTGTCGAACATGGTCATCACGGTCGATCGCACTGTACAGTTGACTATCCATTTGACTGCTCCTAGGGAATGCTCGGTACTCGTAACGGTGTGATGTTCTCTCCTGGAGTGAGCCATTACACGAGCAAACACTGATGCACCGATGTCACATTTTGATAAGAATGCAATGCAATATCAAAATCGGCGAACTACTTCCTGAAAAGATGCACAAAAGACAGATCACGCGCTTGTAGAGGAAATTTCATTAACTTGCGATCGAGTAAAAGCTTGTGTGTCAATCTACTATGAATATCTTAAATCCATTCACATGCGTGTAGGTTTGCTCTCACTGCTTGCAATACACAACTTAACCGACCTGGACGCTGTTGAACGACTCTATATGACCGATAAAAACACATTTTATGGTATCGACTGGCTTGTTTGAGATGATAAAGCATAAACACATTGGCCTGTTCAGATGTGGTAATTTAGTTGCATCCAGCGTGCGTTGGTGTTAACACGTTCACCTCGCATGTCAGGTGTCCGGACTTGAAACCCCGGTACGATCAATGATATACATTGCTGAGCTCTAACAAGAGTGAAACTCAAATCCACTGCTTCGCCCTTGTGGTATGGATTCACCAGGATGTTTGGCCCAGAAGAGAAAGAGGACTGTTCAAACAGTTACATAAATTTGACGTCTACAAAACCTGCAACCACCTACAGCTAAAGCTAAAGGTGGAATCTGGGAAGTGGATAAATCGAGTTTCGAAATTTCTTCTGTATCTGGTTGGTTGTTAATCTATTGATTGTGGAGGTCCAAAGGGACGGGTATTTGTGGAAGACAATTCGCGGACCCGGAAACCCAAAAGAGCAACGTTTGACGCGACAAATGTTTATTTTTGGCACCCGAAACCGAATGGCTCAGGTAAGCAGCGATGTTTTTTCCGTACATTTGATCTCGGTTCACGGCTTGTGTCAGACTGTTGAACACGGCTCACTGCCAACCACGTTTTGGTCTACACATTGGCTCAACATTCAGTTAGGATACGAAATTGGCTACTAAGTTAGAGATACACCATTAATGGTGAGGTGTATCAGCAGATATATGTTCCAATCCCCTTGCGAACTTGTATTCTAGGTTCCTGTGCTTAACGCTGGTTGACGGTTTATCTGCACTGTCATATAAAGGCATTTCAGCTGTATACCTTCTTGGCATCCTAGCCGAACAAATAAGGGGTGTGCAGTACGTCATGTTATTTTGCCATACGAGTACAAGTCACTTATTCTGTAGACGTTTTCCGTTACTCACTTAAGGCTAATCTAACTCTTAGTGCCAGTACACCTGTTTTTTTTTCAAAAGACAGACATTTCCATCTGCGTGTATTGTCTGTGTCTATATTTTGTTTTGTCTCTACATATATTGGCGGAGACTTCGGTGCTTGCGTGTGAAACAAACTGCTCACTGGTGTCGTGTTTAGTCTTGGACTACAACAAAAGAAGAGGTCATTGACAAACTTTTTCCAAACAGTTTTCTAACGGTAGAAGTATTCCCTTTTTTATTACAATGCAGAGGCGTGGCCTCTACTCACAGAGGACTTACGGAGGATGTTAGTGTCTGATCTTTGGTGTCTCCCAAGCATTGGTCAGGTATGTTATGGATTAGTAATGCTAAGGTACGCCAGACGGTCCTGGGGGAAGGGAGCTCTCCCGCAATATATAAATTGCTCACGGTTACTCTATTTAGGACATGTACTTCGCATACCAGAAGATCGTGTGCATCACAAAGCCTTGTTCTAAGTGGAAGTGACCGAGAGGTGGACAGTGTATGACCTGGCAACGGAGTACGGAGACACTAACCAGTAAACTTAGTTGGGTCCGCAACTGCCGCCTCCCTGGATGGGATTCCGGGACTCATCTTACCGATGGTTAATGACACTTGTAGAAATGGCCCAATCGCGTGGTCAGTGGCGCTCGTGCATCAAAGTTATCTCTTTCAATGCGTGGCTACCCGATCCCCCCACTAACTGAACATAACATCGCCTCCAAGTCTTGTCTATATGCTGCGCAATGTCCCGTTTTTCGATGATCGAAACTGTAGCAGCTGGAATTAGTCTGCCTTCGTTACACGGTTTATAGCTGATAAGTTGAATCGATTGATTATGTTGTTTCAAAAGACGCCTCCTTTCGACTGGCTTCGGCACGTTCCCAAAAAAGATATCCACACACTTCGATGCTTTTTGAGCACACACTCACTCCTCCTGGTGTTTTAGTTTTCCCAGTGTCGCAAACTGCCGAGTTTCACTGTTAACTTGCGTGTTCTTTGCTTATACTTTTTACAGATTTAAAAGCTGATTTATTCGCCAGTTTGTCTATCAGTCATGGAGAAATAGGTTCTGTCTCCTTTGAGACCTCAGACTCGCGTCGGAGAGAACAAAGTTACGCTCGGTCGTTGCATAAAATCCTGAGAACAGTGGAGAAACTGGTCACTGATCTTGACTCACGTAGACACGTTCTCCTCACTCTCCCTAGAATGGCCTTACCGTTTTAGAATACCGTATTTGAAAGAGTGGAAGGACAGAAAAATATGGTTGGTGTTGATCTGTAGCGGTCGTTATAGGGAGCGGAGTGCTCCTGACAGACTTAAAGTATGGTCGTGCACGAATCTAACGGTAACTGTCGGCGCGTAGTTGCTATCATTCACCCCATATCCGATACCTCGCTTCCTGAGAATTCGTTGTGTTGGAAGTTGGCCTGTACGTAATGAACACCTCCACCACTAGATCAGATTGCGTGCTTCCTAGAAAGTTCTCTTGTCTAAACTGCGAATAATTTTTGGATCAAGTGACTGTGCTCCTGCAAGCACACCATCTTCGGAGGCACTCCTGAGGACACTAGTGTATTTAAAAAGTTAGTCAACGGGCCCGCTTAGGTTAGGTACAACGAGTTACCAAGGTTATGTTGGGAGCTAAACCATCGAAACACAAATTTGCGAACGTTCGTTTTCAGTCACGTGTCATTGGCCAAGTACTTCTATGAAATAGCGGCCATGGCTAATCAGTATGATCGAGATAGCTCAGTGGTTAAGGCTCCAGCTTACGGACCGGAAGGTTCGTGGTTTGGACGCAACACCCGTTATCTCGACTACTCCTGTCTGGGCTTGGACAAACTGCCAGTATCTCAGCCGTCATGCCTCCTTCCATTGGCATGGCAGCTAGGTACCGAAAGAGTGCTGCGGCTGTGCAGTATTGCAGTATTGTATAGAAGAGTTGTGGTTGATCGATGGGGGCGTGTCAAACCATTACGCCTCTCCTGTTGGTATTTCGTTCTTTTGAGCATTCGTTAGCAGATGCCTTAGGATGGTCTAAAGAAGGCTAAGGAAGTTGGCATACAGCGCTTTCCCACTGGGATGGTGAATCCATTTGAAACACAGTCGGCACACACTGTCATAGTGTCCAGCGGCCAGTGGAGTCGAAAGTGGCTCCTCAAGTCACGGCAGATGGCTGTTGTTGGTGTTTTGGTTGTCTTAGCTTATGCATCCGGTAAACGAACAACATTACACCGTTCCTGTGTTTCTTGGAGTTATTGCTACTCATCGCCACGAATAGACGGGGACAAGTTTCGAAGGGAAAACACAGTGATTCACACTTTATACTTTATCTTGGACCGGCATCCTCTTGTCACAGGGGCTACTAGACCAATATAGCCTCTGCTGGGTATTCGTGATGCACATATGCACACCGAACCAACCAAGATTCAGACACTTATGGCGACAAAAAAGGGTCGCTTATCGACTGATCCAGGCAAGAGCGAATCATCATAATGAGATGACATCCTAAAGTGGTTTCCTAGATTTGTCCTTCTTGGTTTCCACGTTATTGCTTTCCTGTCATCCACCCTAAATTTAGTGTCCGATGTAACCAGTCACCTGTTGGCCGAAAACTGTCCTACTCATTTCTTCGGTAACAGAATAAGGATAAAAAAACGGATGGTTCCATAGTTTTCCGAAGTATTTGGAACAATCCAGTCCACTTCCCATCCGCTCTCCGCATGACCCTATTGTACCATACTAACACTCAAAATACCCATCTTTCAAGCGGAGAACAGTGGCCGCACTTCAATTGTTAGGTGTTAAGACCACTTTTTCTCATTCGGTTGGCCCTCAGCTCCCGAATTTCTACCGTTTTTTCTTCGAACTGGATGGAGCGATCTTGTTCATGATTATATCGATTCACTGGTTTTTCGGAGTCAAATCTTTAGATGAATGCACGGGTATTCCAAAAGCTGAGCACTGGCTGTGCCCAAAACGCGTGAGCATTGTTCACTTAATTTTCCACTGCACTTGGCATAAAACAGAGTCTGAGCCCTAGGGTAACTGGATCTTCTGTTTTGGAGTCAATGCGTGCTAAAAACTATGGATGCTCTCTTTTTTCGCAAAGATAACTTGGGCTCATCAAGACCTCAAAAACATTGGCCTTTCTTATTTGATAGGAGAAGATAAGCTGTTTCATAGGTCGGCACGTTTGCTGGAAGGTTTTTACCGGAGGTACCCGTTAATACTGTTGATACACCTTCAACTTATGTGAATTACAAGCGGGTTGCGAAGGTGCTGTTCCGTTTTGAGCCATTTCATTACTGTCTTACCGTTTATTCATTTTCCAGGCTGTGCAAACGTTCCTGTCCTCTTCGGCTGGTATGCAAGAACAGCGCAGTGATGAAGATGTTCGGTCGGAGGTTGAGGCTAGTATGACTGATTCCAGTGTCGAGCTAACCACAATTTCATCTGATAAATCAATTCCGGCAGTATCGCCTTACATGAACATTCCGGGTAGTCGCGATCCTCTGTACGTCAGCTACGTCCGATACATGGCTAAATACATGCCCGCCGATTGGTTGCTTCGAGGCAGCCAAGCCCTTCGTTTGAATGTAAACTACATCAGTTGCGATCCTTCTCTCTTATGGTTGAATGCCTTTTTAGCGAGGATTTTCTGGGACTTTTTGCGCGAGGTGTATTGGCTTGAACGTGTTCGGGATAAGATGCAAGCAAAATTAAAGAAAATTCACGTGAGTTCATTTACGTTGGTCTTGGGTCCAATGGCCGTTATCAGTATTAGTTTGTACGTTTTCCTGCTCCCGTATTTCTGCCTTTCACCCCCAGTCCTTCTCTATTCGCGACCTTTTTCGTACATCTCTGTTTGTGACAGAGTGAGCATATCCCTTTGCGTATACCTCACGCTTATCCGGGGCGCTTGACTGATTCTGGTACACGCAAGGTCTGTAGCCAACACCTCACTTCTCTTTTTATGATAGTAGGACGTTCTTAAAAACCGTGATCCACGGGAATACGATTCTGGTGCTTCTCAGTAATGGTCCTTCTTAATAGAAGGGACTGGTTCCGACTCTGTCCATATTTAACTGGTAGTTCCTATCATTTGTCTTGAATAGCGTCTGTAATGTACTTTGGCTTGGCACATCGTCTTTTCGTTTTACTGTTCTGTACTTGATTTCTTAGAGCATTTTCTGAATCCCTCTGATGACGGCTAAAGAGGAATGAACAGCGAGGTCACTCGGGCCATAAGCTGGAAAATAATTACCTCGCTCCTGCATAACGCAGGTATCTGCTTGATATTTTTTATACCCACAACCCACACGCGGCTTCATCTTCATCCCTCTTTCATTAAAGTGTTGTTTTTTTCTGCGTTATTTCTTGCCCATTGGCCGAGTCGTGCAAACCAGTCGTCACCAATGTCGCTCACAGTTTTTGAGTGACGTACCGATTTTTGTAGGCTATCATTGCTTGTTGGGATTAGGGTTATGTGCAATAAGCTCAAGTCCGTCATTGTGATTTTTCGAGGATATACGAAGGAATGGGACTTTGCACTTTCAAAGTGCAGGTGAGTGTTACATCCCTATTCTACCTGTTCGAGGTTTTGTTCACGAACACTCAGTAACTTGTCTCACTCTCTTTGGTTGGATTTCTCAGTAATGAGGTCTTTTTGTGCACGCAGGAATTTCTTCAGACATCCATGTTTGTACTTCCCGGTGCAAAATCGAATTATTCTTTGTTGTATGATTTGCTTCGAAGTTTTTTATCGTTGACCATTTTCGTAACGCCCTGTCGCACCTACAGGACCTAATGTATATGTCTGTCTACCTATAGATGACAACCAAGTAGTGAAAGTGAGAGCGGCGGACGAGCGGGATCTTCTGGGGAGCGGCGATTTCGTCGAACCTGTTTTTCGACCCTACTAGAGGTTCCTCAGGTTATATATATATATATATTTATATATATATATATATACAATACCCTCTTTGTGAGGCTGCTAACTGTATCTAGTTCTTGCTTCAAAGCAGGAGCTTAGTAGCATTTGTCTGGCGTCCCCACGTCTTCCTTTCTTGTGAGTACACGTTTGGCATTACTGCAGATAGTTTAGCTATATGGATCACTTGCTCAACTGGCGATTAATGTACCCTATCACTTGACTTTACAGGCCATTCCCGTCTACTCCAACCTGCTCAAGACTGCATAGTTTGAAATTCAAATCCACACCTGACGCTAAGGTTATCCATTTGGGAATTTTTGTCCCTATTCATTTGTAATTTTACACGCCACAACTTACACGCACACCAGTTTTTCGTCAGTAAGAGATTCTCAAATTACTGATCTGCTACGTTTTTCTATTTAGTTGCCTCCATTCATCAGTGATCTGGTCGTGGTCGGTATTGATTTAGGGTCCGAGTTGCCCGTCATTCGCCGTATTGGCCGGCCACATTTGGATGCTCATGGACTGTGGTTCGAACTTGAGGTTGCCTACGCCGGTGGCTTTTCCGTTGCACTGGAAACCAATGTGAGTGAATTTCCTTGGTTTCGTTGTATCCGTTCTGTACTCCTCTATCTCCTGGTTGTTTCTGTTTCGTTCGTTCCGCGTGCGTTCGTATGGCGGAAATGTTAGTTAGTTAAGGTGATTATTGAACCGTTCCATAGGGATTATTGAAACTAAACGGCTGGTCTTTGGAAAGCAGTCCGCCACTCGTTTCGTTTTGAATGCGACTCACCTGGTCAACTGAACAGGAATCCACTACCTGATGTTCAGATTCAGACTTTATTAAACTCTGCCCCAAGCGGTTACTTGATGGTGCACACGACATCTATGAATTCATGTGGTTTTTGCTTAGTTCAGCATCTGTAATGAAGCCGAGCACACGGATTGGTAATTATCAGCTGTTCACCTGCGACACCCTTTAGGTATCATAGTGACCTTGCAATTAAGAGGAAGTATTAGGGCTAAGATACTGTCAAGTTGCCCAAGCCTGGACAAAAGCAATCAGCCAGCAAAGGTTGATAAATAAAACCTACGAATAGAGTATGTGAACAAACCGTGCCAACTATAGCGTTGTGATTGTATTCGACTAATTCGATTAGGTTTACACTAAATTGGAAATTGGTCCTAGTTATTGTTGTTCTGTCCGATGAAATCCTCATTGTTGTTTTTGACTCGTTCATTTTCTTAGGTCAATCTGCTTCGTTGGAACCAGAAAAACCGAATCGAACGTGAAGCAGCTAATCTAGCCGGTATGTAAATTTCTCAGTTTTAATAGATGACAGATGTTCTCACATCATTGTTGTCGCCTCGTCACTATCTAGATTTACTCGTAGCTTTAGGTGTTTTTACTGGCCTCATGTAGTGGACTCTCAGTTCAAGCTTATAAACAGATAGTCACACATCTGTGGGTGTCTCACGTTTTGGTGTTTGAAACTATACCCAAACAAACTGTGGTCCACACTTTCACGGTAAGTGGTTAGACATGAAGCTGAGCTGATCCGTTGGTTCGGTCTTATCGGCACTTATCGATGGAAGACACATGGGGAGAAGAAACCGTCACGAGTGAATTCGACCGTACCGTGGTCTGGTGTTTTGTGCATATCCATACCGAAGAGTGTACCAGTGTATCCCTCATACAAGGTTGACTAACGCTAACAGTCTGGAACATTGGTGCCCGGTAGACCAAAATGTTAATCAACCTCAGGCCGAAGCCCATCGGTGTAGCGGGATGGTTCTCTGCGTGGATATTGTCAGGTGTGTGGTTTCGCGTTCAAACCCGACCCACTATCATTTTCCTCCCCTAAAAGACGAATGACTAGCTTTTGGAAAGTTGTTTCCTCGGCTTCCCAATGCTTTCGTCCAGTATTCGGAAGACGATCGTAAGGCATAGGTTGCACAGCAGAGAACACCAAAAATAAAATTATTTCTGAGACATGCCATAAAAATACGTTGTCGTGTGCGGCGACAGTCATTCATAGCACAAGAATATTATTGCCTGATCTGAGTATAATCGGAAGCTCCAATTTGTAACCAGATTACTGAGTAGAAATATTCTTAGGTCTGTAGCTATGTTTAGTCCCAGATTTGTCAGACGGGAAATTTTGATTTCCTAGATAGACTGACGAGGCAGTTGGATAAAGGGAGAGAGATTGGGGGAGATTATTTTAGGATCAAGGACATATTTTCCAATGTTAGCTTAACTTCACCGCTTAATACGTGTGTTAGTTGTTACATCACGCACGCATCTCACGCGAGGTTTCCGGCAATGTATCCTGCCTGTTTTGTACAATATTTGACAGCATGTTCTTAGGACCTATGTTAACCTATTTTATACACAATATGCGTTAAAATCGTTTTCAACTTGGCTTGTGGATAAACTTGAGATAAACGTGTAGGTAATGGGATTTTCAGCTTCTGCGTGAATCGGATGCATAGAATGTGCCGGTGACATTGTTCCCATTTTCGAAAACAAAAGGACAAACTTTCGAAGTTGCACTTCTCTTAACAGTAGCTCTGCACACGAATCTCAAAGGCCAAAATAGTGTTTCCTTATCTGCACTAATTGTGGCATCCAAATGGTATATCACACTGGGTTCCAAAAGACGCGTACATCAGACTGAAGCACAGGCTGTTTTGCAGCTGCAACATTCACCAATTTCAGGTGGGAGGTGTGGAACATTTTCAGTGGGATTCGGCTGGAATCAGTGAATTTGCAGTTAGTTCTTTGGTTTAGAAGGTACTTTACTCAAGGACTCCACCCAGCACTGTAAGCGAAGGGGCTGGACCGTATGCTACTCATATTAAGTTACCCTCTGCTGAAAAGAGCCGTGTTTTTCCTGCCTTGGCTTAGGGTTAAGAAATGTGTTGCAGAAAGTCCGAGTGTTGTTGGCCTTGTTTGCCTTCTAGGATGTGGTCCTATTTCTACTTGGCTGGGGGCACTTAAGGATGTGGCGCCTAACCGATTTGAGCGGCTTTCGTGTCTGACTGAGTATCGGAGGTATGGGTACCGTGAAAGTTTGTATTTCGCTAGCGCTAGGCCTCCCTTTATTTCATCTAAACTGACGCGGTTATATGGCAGTTTGGATGCCGATGATGGTGCTAGTAATCAGCGACGAAGCAATGCCTGATGTCTCCTCACAGTCCCTGGGATCATCGTTCTCATTTCGTAAAAATAAACATTCAAATGGATTTTTTTGTATTTCCTACATTATCTACGTTAATTAACAGTTTTTTCCACATTCCCAGTGAGTTTTATTTCGCTTCCATTGCGTTTACTTCATCGAAGCTGAACAGGGGCCATTGTATGCATCTCTGTTGTTAATCGTGCGCAAACTTGGATTTCCACCTGTCTTTTATCGGTCACAGTGCCGTTGTCGATCGGTAACCACGGTCCAATGTATGTGTGATACAATGGTTAGAATTAATCACATTGTGTCATCTACCGGCGCTGTGCACCATACCGTTTGTTTTCTGTCTTCTAACCGGGAGAATGGATTTCCAATATCTGTGTTGTCTACTGTCCCTATCTAGTTTCTCACATCTTGTCAACTAGTTCTTGAGTTGAGCACATCTTCGGTAGGGTAATTTTTTACTATCCTTGAAAATGAGCACAGTCGTGCAGATTATGGGCGCTGGGATTGGCATGCCAACGTTTTATCACGACTTATTCTACGTTTACCCTTCATTTATGATTTGTGTCGACAGTACCATGTGTTAGAATGGTATCAATAATGCCTGTCTCCAAATCCTTCTCTTGAAATGCACTCTACTCCACATCTGCAACCAGAACGTGATCAAGTGTGTTTGGAATCTCTGAAACACAGCTAGAATAACTGAGAACTAGGAGTATGCGTAGTATGGATGAGAAGACGTCTCGGGTGTAAACGAACTACAGGTTTCTTTCTTCTCGGACACATGTTCCATCAGATGGCTTGCTTTGCTATTTCAATGTGGTCATTCCCTTTTGGAACAGTAGATTATCCAGCTGTCTTTGAGACCAAAGTAATATCGTCTGAAAAGTCCCCTGCAAGTGTCGTCACTTGATCGCCTTTGACAATCCCCATGCGGTTGGGCTCCTGGCCCTGTTTAACTCGTCAGTCGAAGCGGTATGTCAGATTGTTGCCGATGTTGCGTGAGGTCCATTCTGTATACGTTCAGACGACAGTGTAGGTGTCCGGTGCACTCCAAAAACTGACGTGTTATCCACACGGACACGATAGGTCGGTCACCCACACTGGCAGCATCTTTCCCCGGGTATTGTAAAGACACTGATCTAAGTTAGTAGGCGTCATCTCTAATGATGATTTCACATGTGATTTGCCACGTATGTACCTAATAGATGAAAGTTTGGAGGTGGCCAGGGCTACCAGTGTACCGGTGATACTACTGATTGGAGGGCACGCGAGTAGTATATTTTCTCGTAAATCCGCTTTGCGTCTCTTGAAAAGTGAAATCTATTCCAGAATTTGTGGACTCGCTTTATAGCATATGCTTGGATTTGAGCAACAGTCAATGAATATCGAGGAAAGTTCAGAAAGACGCGTTCAAGGAGAAGGTGGATATTCAGTTTTTGTAAACAAGATGCATATGAGAGTTTTGCTTCCCTGTCCAATAGTTTGTAACCGGTCAGTTGGCATTTTCCACTAAATAACTCCGCAGCGAAGGTCTTATTTCTTTCATCAGTAATCCCTTTGCTTGCCTTCTACGATGGGCTAGATTTTGATATTTCCCTGATATAAATTAGTGTTAGCCAAAATAGGATAGGGTATACCTTAAAATGAAAGGCTTAAGTTCAAGATTATGTTCCTTCTGTATGAAACTTAAGAGTCGCTTGGGTTTTTGACACAAACCATTGTTTTCAGGTGTTTCTCGTGGGAGAAAATGCAGCTATGAGCAATGGAAACGAGGTTGGAATACTGTGAAACGTTGCAAAAGATTGCTTTTAGTTAAGTTCACTGTGTAATTCAGTTTTACGCTGGGCGGAGGCGTGATCGGTGCGATAGAACAAAGTTAATCAAAGGATGCTCTCCAACTAGCTTTCCAAAAAGTCGAAACTAACTGGATTCGGGTGCGTGATTCCTAATCTCATCAAATATATGCGTTGAAATGTTGCCATTTCAATTTTATTTTCATGTTTATAGGTGTCTGCCGAATGAGATGCTGTTAAGAATTCGTCAAAAATAGAAGAGAGCACCGGTAGTTTACCAGTGACTTGTCATCCTTTCAGCAAAAGAATGAAGTAACTTGGTTTTTATGTCGTCTTCGTTAGGCCAGCGAATTTTGCGCAGAAACGTATTTATGTAGCATCGAATGCCTCTTTTTATGAACAAATCAGATGCAAAATGCCGGAATCTTATTGAAGCGACGGTCGATTATTGAGATTTTTTGACGAACTTGACGGTTGTGTTTTAGGTGTCTTGTGACATTTGTCTTGTCTTGGAGCATGATAGCTCAATCCATTTTCAGATAAATAGTTAAGTTGCAAGCTACTGATAGAATGGTCGAAGGTTCGTGCTTTGCCCGTGCTTCTAGGTTTCTCCAGTCTAGAATTTAACAGACTGACAGTACTCAGTTCCATACTTTTATCGAATTGCTTGGTCGCTACGATATGATAGGATGCCACAGCTGAACGATGGAAGGATATTGGGCGGTCTGCAGCCCTCAAATTCAAACTATCCTGATACACGTCAAATATTACACTGCCGAATATCAGAACCGGAGATGTGTTGTGTGGTCTCCATCTCTGAAGCCCTCTGATCACTTGGCACAAAAATTGCGGGGAAAGTGGGCTTATCTGCAGCCTAATGGCATGTATTTTAGCGACTTCAGGTTTGGATTGTTTCACTTTCAAGATTTGTGACCTATCAAGGGTGTCGCTTGTTTGCTTTCTGATCAAAGGAGGCTTTGAAGGTCATTCGGAATGTAATAGGGCTGGATCTGGCCGCTAACTGAATTCCTCTTTGATTTGTAATGACCTTGGCTCAACTGAGTTTCGGTTCAGTGTTTTGTTCTCAAGCGTGTGGCGAACGTCTCTGCCAATTGACTCAAATTTTTGCAATAGGGGAAAACAGAAGGAACGCCCTTGCTGTGAGACGTTCCTCAACCACATTTCATAAAAGCTTTTCCATACGAAGTTTACTCAGCGGTGCACTGGTTTGTACGGTTAGAATTATGCGGCGGAGAACGCGGGTCTGGTCTACTGGATGCCCCAAGAATCATTGTCCGTATTTCACGCGAACTTTTCTAGAAATCCCCACTTTCAGTTCTATTGGGTCGAAATAGTCCAGAGTGCGTACCCTGGGATACCGTCGTGATTTCATTTTCTGTAGCGGTAATTTTTTAACGATTGCTCAGTGTTTTCCCGAGGCTTCCCCAACTTGCATTTCGTTTGCCTTCTAGATGACACCTCAGGTGCTTTATCTTCGTCCGGTTCGGTGACTCCGGATCCAAACCTTTTCCCGCCTCTCCGACGGTCCTCCAGACTTGGTGCTTTCTTATCAGACGAAGAGGACAGTGCTGACTCAACGACCGACTCAGATGTTCCCGTTGAAATGCAGCCAACGGGCCAAAGTTCTACACGTCGGCCCAGTGTTTCTCGCCTTGCTAGTCAGACAGGACCAGTTACTGCGATGGGCATGACGTCACTAGATGAGGAGAGACCCAGTGGTTCAGAGAGGTTAGTTCGTTCACTGTTTTCTGGCTCATCCCAATTGGTTCTCTCATCATCGCCAGTTGTTTAAGGTGCGTGTTAACGTAGGCTTTCCTCATCTGACTTTTGTGGGTGACCTGATAAAAATGTGGATTTTCATTCCTTCTGCATGTGATTTTTGCATGTAGCATAAATGCATATTCTGATGCCATACTTATGAATTTGAGATTATGGTCTGAATTGATTAGTTGGACTGCGTTTTATTGTTGTCCGATACTTCCAGCTAAAAATGAAGTAATAATATAATCCTTCTGTGGCAGCTTTTTGGTGCTGTCAAGCCGGCTGATGGAAGCACAAAGGCTGTGATACTGCAATTTCGCCCAAGCCTAGGCAGTAGCCGTCGAGATGCTGTCGGGTTCGAAAGGCATGCCTTTCATTCACTAAGTTCGGGCCTTAACCACCGAGCTATATCGAGCTCTAAAAGAGTTCACCACATGAAAAGATACCTTTTATTCTAATTAAGGCAGTGGTATTCCTATGGGGTGTACCTCTTGGAAGGAGGGAATCACTGTATGTGTGGATGTTGGATACACTACTCTATTGGTATTATCTGATAATGTTTTGGATTGTCTTATAACTTGCTACAGTATCAGTAGGTTGGCGGAATGGTCTCACCCTGACTCCTTGTGCACAAATTAGTTCCTGCCGTTCTTCGAGTTTTTTATTCACATTGCTTATTCCCGCGTTTCTAATTAACCCTGGCTATGCACGTGATATTTCTATGGTTGTGTTCCCTTCACTGTGTATGACTGAATAGTCTTGTGATGGAGACTCGTTTATTACTCCTTTTAGGTACACTCTCGGTTTGCTGCTGTTAGAGCAATATTTGTGATGCGGTCACGAGTATCAGCAATTAATAGCTAAGTGGTAATCATTTCTCTGCGGCTGCCTTTAATGTGCATCCATTTGACAACATAACTTTGTGTTCTTGTATGCTGAAGGTATTTTGCCTGCATTGCTGGTGAACTATTTAAGAGAGTGTTCAGGAAAATTATTACTAGTGAGGTAGCCCTCATCATTCGCGTTAACTAGGCGCAAGTTTTGCCGTCCATCCTGACTAATCAGTCATTGTCTTATTACGCATTCAGCTGTGGCTTCTCAATTTTCTACAGCGCTGACGCTTCATATCCAACATTTATTCACGTGCCCCCGGAAGATGTGAGAGTTTCGAACTCATTAACTATCCTTCTTATCAGCTGTATCACCTTCGTTATTACCCGCACACAAACCCACCTTTTACTCTGCTGTTGTCAATTTATTTTCGTCAATCTCTGTCAGCCCCAACGCCGGTGAAGGCCCTCGCAAGACGCTGCTTCCTCCGGCTCGGTACTGTTTTGTGTGTGTGCTTGTGTTCGAACTACCTCACCTTCTTGAGTTCTCCCAGAAGTGCTATCCCCTTCTAATGTGTGGCTGTGCCAACGCTAACTTGACGTTTTTGGTGCACCATTTTGGTTTACCCTCGCCCTTTTCAGTACTAAAATACTATTTGATTTTCTGAACATCTTGTCTCAGCTGGGTTCAAAATCTACGCAAGACTGTGTGAATCATCCAAAAGACCATAAAAGTAATCTCCTTTCCTTATTAATTCTCACTGAAACTTTGATGTTTACACAGTTTTACTTTTGCATCTGTTGTTTGGAGAAGCTTCTGTTTCCGCTACCAAGGTGAAGGCGTGTTTGACACCAACAATATATGTGGTTGGTTTAAAATATGACTAGGACTTGGTATTCCATTTATCGAAGCATTCCGCATTGTTCAGTGGTGTGGATGTTCGTTGATTAGCAGAGTTTGTTTACTTCCCAAAGTACCATTCGGTACCAACACCCAAATTCACCTTTCACTGTGCTCTTACATGAACTTTCCCTATCGATCAGAAGTTACACTCTGGAACCACCGAACCATTCCAACACAAGAATGTTGTTATTATCCATATCCTTTGCAGAATGTTGACAAGTTTCGTGGTGGTTTTGGTAGGCTATGGTTTTTGTAACCATATACTATCACGAAGGTGAGATTCCTGAAACCACCCACTGAGTGACCGAAATCTACTGAGACCCTCAGCTCTGCTAGATGTAGACCAGACAGAAAACACCCTTCACCATGCAGCGCTTCCAGACAGCGTGAGTCAGTGTTGGTCAAGGTCAAACGACGCCTCCGCAATACGCAGCACGTCACAGCCTCGTACCAAAGCCAGACCGCGTGCGTCACCATTGGACCAAGTTTAGACGGTGTCCCCTAAATAAATAACTTGAAGCCGTTGTAGTTGCGCGATCGCACGCACTCACGCTCTCTGTTCGCTTGTTCGGAACATAGCTGTTGTGTTCCCTTCTGTGGGTCTTCTCTGGCACTAGCCACTAGAGCGGGGTCAGCAATCAGGTACAACAGACTGGCGAATCAGCAGATATAGCATATACGGAAACGGAATATTCTGAGAGACGCCACTTTCTGTTTAATGCGACGGGATGATACAGTCGTCTTCAGGAACATTTCCCAATAGTGTATAGGGTTATGGTTGCTATTTTTAGTAGCTTAGCTAAATTCGAATTTAGCATGTGTTGATCATACTATCTTATACTTTCTCTCTTCTGAATGTGATATTGTCCTGCCTAGATTCATCATGACTTCATCGTGTCGAGTTGCAGTGTGGTGATCTGATTGATGTATATATGCATTAATTTGTCCGGTTTCTATTATTTGTCGATTATGAGGGTAGAAATCGCAGCTGATTTGCACTCATTCCACCACATACCACCGCTCAATCAAGTGATATGCACCTGGCTTATATCCTTTTCCAGATTTTCGTGCATTACCCTCCGTATATAGTATCTGCAGCCACAAGCAGTTCGCACCAAGTCGGTTCGTAGACCTACTGGAGGCTCTTTGAGCGGGAACAATACTAGTGTAGGGAAGAAGGGTGAAGCTATAAACAATCAGCTATCAGATCGGCGCCTTGTAAAATAAGATGAGGGCAACTAAACGGTTGAGTTCAAAGTGTATGTGGAAAGTTGATTCACGGTTTTAGTTTGAACACTCGTGAATTTTTCACAGATCTCTAGCAGCGCCAGACTCTGAACGTTGGCTCATCTGTGACCCCGGATCGTAAAGTTGACGCATAGTACGGAGTGTGTTTATGTGTTTTTATGGGTCACTTCCACCTCCGCCGTATGTTGCGGTGTGAAGCTATAGTGCGATACTTAAGCATCTGTATGAGGTATAAAAAAAGGAGTATACGAAAGAACGCTTGTCGCCATATGTGCAAAGCACAGTGTTTAGAAATACAAGGTTATTCTGAAAATGTTACATAGACCTTACCTCTTGGGTGGATTCTACGATGTCATGTCTATGAAAACAGTGTAGCCCGGGAAGGTTTGTTGTGAAAAGAACCCACCTCGTGCTGTGTTAAGCTACCTCGCGATCGCTGCTTTGTGTATGTCACGAGCGGTAGATAATTCACTGTCTTGTCTATGGAAGTACCGCCAACTCTATATGTGTTTCGCCTCTTCATAACCCTGGTTTGGACAGACGGATAGTCTCATCGTTTTTTATTGCTCCTGCTCTTTATGTACTGTATTGTACTGTATTGAATTACACACTATGCATTATATTATTTTTCATTCCCACTTTGTATTCCATTTATGTATATGCAAATCGCCAGTACAAACATTCAGGAGTGTTGAGATTACAACGGTGCTAGAAGTAACTTTCTGTTGCTACCTTTGTACGAGCCAAACTGATTATTAGCTACCTGTAGCAAGCCATGTGCCATCGTCTTGAGTGCATCATATACGTGCTGTGGGCCACCAGGCCACCCTTGCATATACTGCGGGTTCGAACTGTTTAGTTTTCCCTGCGCGATTCCACAGTTATTGATAATCGGTTAGGCATGCTGAAACCCTTGGAACTATTGAATCCTGTCAGTCCTTCAGGCTTATAACAGATACTGGACGTTCAGTGAGTTACACATGCGGCTGAGCGTAAACCACGCTAGGGTATATAGTCGTAATTCGATGTAGCATACCAACCGGATGCTGGGTACCAACTTGATAAAAGAATACAGTTACCACGGTCCTCCTGCGCCATCACGACGCAATAGCAAAGGCTCCAGGTGTTCGCCACTGTATTGGATGAGAGTAACTTAGATCGATCAATCGGAATTCCGCCTGCTGCTAAGCCCAATGGTGCTGCACTACGTTACCTATGAGTTGTAGACAGATGGACATGGCAACTCTCGGCATCACATTTCCCCTTCAGTACTTGTCATTACAAGGATCATCTACGATCAGTGAACTATCAAGTAATGGCTTGTCAACCGATGTCACATTATTCCTGGAGGGCTTGACCGTCATTGCAGCGTTGCATAAACTTGAAACCTAGTGATTTCAGTGCGGCTGGAACCAACTGTAGTTAGTCGCTTAGTGCAGTTATTCGGTGAACTGCTACGCGTGCATCAGGATGGAATTTTATGCACACGTCAAAACATTTTGTGTGAAGAGTCCTGGGTGTTTTTAATCCAAGTTGTGTGGTTTCGCAAACTGTAGTGCAATATGGTATGCTGTTAGATATAACCACATAATCTGGTTAACCGATCACCAATTTCGTATATTTCACCCACATGTTGTGTTTCAACCCATGGGGTCTCATGGTCCTTTTCCAAACCGCTTTGCATTTCGTTCCTGATTTAACCGACTGCAAATTTCACGCATTTGACTCCAATATTCTGCTAATTTTCCAGTACTCTCCAATTGCCGTCGGCTTTACCAAGTCGAAGACGTTTTATACGCCTTGTCGATCGGATCGCTCGTTCATCCTACTTTCAAAAAGCTGTTGATAACAAACTAGTCCAACGTGGTATGGAACTGCTGTCTAACACACCGATCGTCCTCGAGGCAGAAGTAAGTCTATCATAATGTAGAAACCTATCCAAAATGAATGTAGCTACGATTCTTGCAAGAATATTATGGTTCTTGCGCTCCAGCCTCGGCAGCTCGCACAGACTGGTCTTAGTTTTGGATTTATGCAACAAGTTTCCAACAGCATTTCGTGATATATTCCAATTTATCCTCAGATTGTGTTAGTGGGGCGAGATGGATCAGTGGTTCGAGCGCGAATTTACCGACCGGATAATCCGTGAACCCGACCCGACCTCTGCATCTCGACTTCCCCTATCCAGGCTTGGTCAACCTGACAGTATCCCAGCCCTCGTGCCTCCTTTGGGTGGCATAGCAGCTAGGCACCAAAAGGGTGTTACAGCTGAACCATTTTTGTGTGCTAGTTTGTACCTTTTCACAGAGACTGAGCTCACTACTTTTTTCCTGCGTGTTTACTGGTTGTCGATTTTCGCTCTGTAAAACGTAATTTGACACCACGTTCCCTTACAACTCCGGTAATCTCTGACTGACATTGGTTTTTACGTGTCTGACATCTTCCAAACGTCCAGTGGATACCCAACATATCTGAGTGATCTCTGTGTGACACTATCGACCTTTCCGTCCGTATTCACGCACGTATTCACTTTATCCAGTGGTGCTGCCATTACTCATGAATCTTCAAAAAAATTTTACGGGTGACTTCTAAGGCAACTAACTGATAGGTGACGCTTCGCCTTTGAAACGAAAACTTGATCGGGCCCGGCGAGTAGGTCATAAGTCTGATGAATTTTAAGCAGGATATATATATATATATATATATATAGCAGGACAGGTGGCTAACAATGGGATGTCTCGATATTCATATTAAGGTCCTTTTGTAGGCGGACTAGTTTAACAATGAGTGTGTTTCTATCTGTTTACACGTGTTGAGGTTCGCGATACGGAACTTTGAGTGACGCGTAGGTTCGACAATCCCGAATATCAAAAGGAAGAATTGAGTTCATAATTCTACGGTCCTATTTACACAAGGGTAAGCAAATGTGTACAACAAACCTCAATTGCTCACGTTCGTAGCGTCAGCAGGTTAACAGGTGTGTCACTGACCGGCACACTGCAGTGTCAACGTCCGCACACCAAACGGCGAGCGGAATGATGGTTCGGTAGCGTGGGCTGCGGTCGNGAATGATGGTTCAGTGGGGGGGGCGCGGGTCGCCCCTTCCAATGACGGTCTCGTGATTCTCATTGGACTTGCGATCACTCGGTATCCATGATGAAACAAGTCCATGCAGGCTCAGCAAACGGGACATGAACGCACACGTGTGAGTAGGTCAGCAGCGCACATTCACACACAGACACACATGTCAATACACGAGTGTGAGAAAGCACGGCCTCTGCGGCAAGGTGAGTGGTGTGTACGAATGAACGAAACGACTGGAGATCAAAAGTGCATAGGCAGTGTAAGCAAATGAATGGGGAAATTATCATAAGATCAAGTTAGATTCAACAACACGTGTCTCGGAAATTGCAACATCTCGAATTTTGACACCTTTGGGGATATGTTGGATTCGGATTGCGACCTGTTTGGTTCTCGATTGAGCTTTCTGTATTTGTCTTGAGGCGAAAATCACACTAAATGGGGTCGTCCAAGGCTTCACTGATTTGAGAATAGGCGAATTATGATACCTTTTTTATGGCTCGTGTTTGCAGATTCAAGCCCTTAGTGGCACATTGCTGGTGAATATACCTCCTCCCCCAAGTGATCGTCTGTGGTACGGATTCCAACCCAATCCACAGCTGCGGTTGAAGGCTCGTCCTCGTGTTGGCGAAAAGGCCGTTACAATGTCGCGAATTCTCGAATGGATTGAAAATCGCGTGGCGCTAGAATTTCAGGTTAGTCGAGCGACTGTTGTTTGCTTAGAAATCAGATGCACATAGTCTGTACGTTCGAACGCGAGTTAAAGTATTTTTGGGTCGCATACTTTGCCCTAAGATATGCTTATGGGAATCTAAATCGATCGTCCAATTTGACGGTCCTGCACGCCTCAACTTTGAGTGCTACTTTTGCCTCAGAAGGTATGCATTTACCAACGTTGCGCTTGTACTTTTTCAGTCAAGGAGCATGTTACAGCATGTATGTATTCAACACAGTGATTCTCCCAGGGTATTTGGATTTCTCACTTCTACTAAGGCATTGTGTTACGATGTACGTATTCGGTGTTTTTGTCAGATGTCAATTTCGGCTATTTGGATTACACCTGGAGCAATGTTTGCCAAACGAGAAACCATATATCCGTTGAAAGCGCGTTTGTAGTTGGCGCATAAGTGGCGGCCTGTTAGATTTTTGGTACTTGCCGCATCAGATGTATCAGCCACATCAAAAGAGCATTATCGGAAGTATCGTGATGGAAGTGAAAATAGATATGACACAGTAACACACACGGAACCATTTAATCGATACAGACCGACGGTTCAAACCACCTCATTCATTTAGTATAATTTATCGGATTCTGTGATAGCGTGGTGTAGTTTCGGTGGTTGAAGGATGAGTGGTGCTATGTCCTGTCTAAGTGAGAGTTAATCATACTGCTGACCAGCCGCTTGTGGCCAGATTTTTAGCGCTTAACTACTAGCCTCAAGGTCGGGTGTTCGAATCCCTGGGTTTTACGGGATGCACACTGCTGATGATTCCCCCTTATGGGTGAAACAGCTGTACAGTGCTTCCTGACTTTTCAGTTCAGGTTATATTCGATGCTGAAAGCTACCAAATCTTTCCACATCACCGTCAGTCTGTAGTCCATTGTTGATGCTGGACGCGGCCGAATCAATCACTGTCAGATTACTGAGCCCAACACTGCTCAGAAGCGACTGACTCAACTGAACCGAATGAACTGCTTATCGACCAACCAGCCAAGAGCACACACCGCGCTCATCACACGAGTGTAATTCACTCTTTCTGTTCGATTTCTGAGCCTGTATTCAGTCTATTTTTTGTGCTGTTTCATTAGTTTGGGAACATACAGCCAGCTGAGACATGCCAGAAGCGGGTTTAATGAACTCACTTTCCAAAATTAAAATACCTTCGCAAATATGCTTCAATAAATACGGAACCCTCAAGGTTGTCGAAGTGCGTCTTGTCATCCCGTTGCTTTTACTACCGTATATCTATACAACTCATAGCTTTTTCTATGGAACAACTTAAAACAGGCCCCGATCGATTGTTGAAAAGGTGCAAGGTAGAGTGTATTTTCCATGTGGCTTCTCATTTCTAACTCCCGTTTTCGTTTAATAATGGAGTGGTGGCGTCGATGGGCCTATTATGGGATTTGTTCTAGTTGTGGAGCTATTGATTAGACCTATGTTCCCGCGTAGATGGCGTGATGCATTAGACTTGATCGGCCGTGTTTCAGTTTCAGTTGATGCGAACACTGTTCCAATCACAGGGGCAATAAATATTTTGGAATTCATTGGTAAACAAGTATTCCAGCGTTCGATCACATCGCCGGTATAAGTTTTCTCCACTGAAGGTTGTATTTATTCCCCTTGATGTCAAAAAATTCGAAGAATTTCTTGCACACTCCACCGTCTATGTGGTGGGCTTTTGAGTTTTTGTCACCTGTTTCCTCAGGGGGCTGTTGAATCTCATTCACACGGTGATTGAGAGCTTATCAGCGGGTCATGTGGATTGTTCTGATGTCTGTTTGTTCGTCCGTGCTGTCTTTTTTGGTGTATAACTGTCACAGCCCAAATCAACCATGAGGTTTGATCAATAGAAAAGCCCGGAGTTGGGTTCGAACCACGGACTTACCAGTTAGCAGTTTGCTCCTTGTTCATTTAACTATTCGGTGCTGTAGTTACTCGCTCAGGCAGACAATTTTGTTCAAATAGTGTCATTGTCAGCGTGTAGTCGGACAGAAGTGCGTTGCCTTATAAGCCGATTACAGAGACGCAGCTGTGCACTGTATTCCAGTCTTTTTTAACTGTGATCGATTGGGGAATCAGGTTCTGTACGCCTTAAACAGTATGGGGTTGAGTTTAGTGTACATGAGTTTTGAACTCTGGGTTAAGTAATTTTTCGAAGTGCGAGTTTTGTAATTTCGCCTTCGGTTGATAGTATTGTTTCCTCTCCTCCCCCTTGTATTGACGCCATCCACCTCATGAGCTGCCGGTGTGTTCCGGATGTGTTCTTTGCAGACTTTCCAGCCCAGAATGACTTCACTTAGTAGAACCAACTTTTCAAAACACACACGCGATGATTGACCGCTCAAAAGCGGTTCGTTGTTGTCGCCATCTTAGTAAAATATTGATTGTTCTATCCAATGCTTCGACACTATACCTGGGCACAACAACATTCCTCGTAGTTTTACTGTCACAAAAGATGTCTCTAGTGTTTACTTGCAGGTATGATTGACTGGCACCCCATACAGAAATATCCGTCAAAAGTGGATGGCCCACTTGGAAGATTATGCATATTTACTGAAGTGGGACCTTAAAAAAGTCAGAACAGACAACTTCAAACACACCAAGGCTTCATCGAGATATGCTGGTGAAAACCTATCAGTATTCTGGTTGGAATATCACTGTGGTGTGTTAGTCTTTCACTTCAGTCACTTCAGTTCTCGAATACCTAAAAACCAACCTACCCATCTACGGGTACATCAGTACTTCTGGAATCACGTGAGGTTCATACGAGTACTTCAATACTAATAGTTTCGGAGGGAACGAATGTATTCAGAGCCTTACTCTAAACCTTACTTTGACGCTCCGGTTTATGTGCATCCTTGTTTCTCACTGGCTGTCTAGGTTGAGGTTAGCATGTGTTTTGTTACTTGCTCCTGAACGTTCCTACCTCAGCCGCCGTCCATTTGAACCAGGATCCTGTTTAGTTAATGGCACACTGGTTTTATGTCTGTCAGCCTGTTAGCACTGTCAAGCGATATTGAACCTTTCCATGGTGCGACGGTTTGTGTACCTCCGCGACCTATTAAGCTATACTCGGGGGTGTCCACGCGACCTTCGCAGATTCCCTTTTACCAGGTTGGTCAATAGTTAACGGTCTGTTGAAAAGTCTCCTGATCCTCCAGGTTGAAGGTTGGAACTTGTGGCGACGTGTTCCGTAAAAATGGTAATGTATTTGCATTTCCAACCAAACACCGCTGCATTTCTGTCAGGCTTTTGAGTCAAATGCTTTGTTTGAGGACCCTAATCGTTCTCCAGACTAGGTGTGGGCGTCCTAGCAATATCCCGACCTGGGTACAAACATGAATTACTCACATAAAAGTAAACTTATGCCACGTCGGCCGTCGCGTGGTACCTTCAGCAGGGTTGCCTTACGCGCTGCATACAGCGGGACGAGTAAGCGAAAACGAGCTACTCGTGACGCCTCCTTTCTCGTTCGCATACCTCCCCTTACCCTCACGCCATTAATAACTCTCTCCGTGTATGCCCGGCACTTAGGACTGATGACCCCGTTCGTCTCGCGTCGGTTTTGCAATCAACAACAGCGCCTCATCTGGTGCTGACATCCTCAGTCATATCAAAATCAATCCTCAAAGCTTAACGCCTAGTCTGTCCGGTTGCTTTAAACGTCCTTATTCTGAAGCAAGCGGGGCAGCCAGCTGCTCTTGCTCTCACACTGGATTTGCTTGGCACTGATGTGTGCTGTGTGCCAGAAACATGAATTCAAGATGCACGCACAGTGGTTGAGCTGGCCGCCCCATCACTTTTCACTCGCTTCCGGCTGCGTACCTCTGGCGATCCAGAGACTGCTGCAGCAGGGTGTGAAGGGGTTGGTATCGTTTTAAGTTACCTGCGGAATGATCCTTGCTTGACTAGATATCCGTTGATAGTCGCGTCTGTGTGGTTCGTCTGGTAATATATGTGAAGGCATCCCAGAAGCGGGAAGTTCATCTATGTCTGCTTACTCCCCAACTGACTGTGGCTCTGGACACCATCAGAGGCAAATTTCATGACGCCCTGGATGCCCCGTTGTGGTGAGCTAAAAGCTCAGATACCATTGTGGTTGTCGGAGCTGACTGCATCAGTGGGCAGGCTTATCGCACCTGAGACTCAACTGTGTAGTCGACATGGAATGGATTCGGTAGCTACGGACTGCGGTGAACGATTGCTTCAGACTGTTTTTATGCAATACTAACTTCCGATATAACCGAAGTCATCTGGCCACATGGTGTTGTCCAGCGGCGTGCCGGCTACAAACTCAAGTTCATTACGTTTCCATTAGTTACCAACGGCGCGGATCAGTAACTGACTGCCACTCCTTTTGGAACACATTTGTGGATCCCGACCACGCACTGGTCTGGAGTCACTTTCCTTTTCGCTTTCCAAAGCCTTCTAAGGTGCGAACAAATCGCTTGGCACCTGGGAGACTGGCAGATCCGGATTTTAGACGATTGTAACATAATCGGTTTCCAGACTCTTCCAACTACTCCAACATCAGATGTGAATTGATACATGGACGAGCTCGCCACCTCTTTGCACAGTGCTGGGCGCCTTGCCTTTGGCACGGAACTAGCAGGCCCACTCAACCAGTGAATATCAGACTGAACAGTGGCACTGCTTTAATCTCGGAAAGATATCTCTGCCTGTGCCGAACATAACTTGACACGACAAATTACCAAACATCAAGTGAAATTAAGCGTACGAGCAGACCGTGAAATGTGGTGGACACAGAAATCCAATGGGATGGAAGAGGCCCAAAAAACCTGGAATGCCAGAAGATTATTTCAGTTGATCCGTGCGACCGGTCCCTCGTAAACGACCTGTTACCGAAACCAAGGATCAGAATGGAGCGGCCATCTCGAATAAAGAAGAACGCGTTGAATGTCGGGCCGAATACTTCGAACAGCAGCTATCGTGGCCAATAGCTGCCACTCATCTGGACCCATAGCTGATGTAGAACCTTGGACGGTGAACGCGGAACCCTCTACGGGATTAGAGTCGAGTTTTGCTGTTAGCATAGCTCATCAGCAATGCATATCTTTGACCGTGCCGGGACATAAACTCCGGACATCGGATATGCGAGGCGTGTGTTACCACTACACCAGCGCACTGTGGACTGAACTGAATCATCACTTCTGAAGAGGCGAGCGTCTCGCGTTTGAGGTCCTGACGACGTCTCAGTAACTGTCCTGGTTATATCGGTCGATTGACTCTTCTCTCAAGACTTCCCAGTCAGGTAGCGCCACAGACTCTTGAACCTCTTGTGCGATTTTCGATTTGTAGGATTCAGTTCTTTTCTGGGCATGTGTTGCAGTGAAACGCCTCCAATTGGATTGGCTTAGAATTCTTTGCAAACCTCATCGAACACGATAATCAGTTGTCCTTATGTGGATTGTGTTGGAAGATACAGGCACCGTGCTACTTGAATGCGTTCCCTAGACCGTTCCTTCCTGTACTCTCCACCCATACTACTTTTTCACTGTTTGCCACTGCTTCTTTTCCGAGTCCTCTGCTACTGGCATACTGTCACCCATAGTGATGTTGATGATGCATATGAATAACGACTCGCTGGAAATATATATGTGTAATGTTAATACCATATGGACAATAGTGAGCGACACCAACTAATTGGCCTGAGTGACAAAGCTGGAAAAGTTTCCAGACTAGAATATAGTCCATTCCCTAGCGTTGTCTGAGCTTTAGAATCATAGGTTGTAATCATACAGCTAGCCAACTGGGATTCAAGTAAAGGTTGTTCACGTCTTGAAAAAATTACTCGGAACTAATCTCGTTCTGGTGCGTCAATTTTGTATGAGATCCTTTTTAACCTAAATCAAATGGGCGGCCACAAGTGCACACTTACATAAAACCCACCCTTCTTCTTCACAGTATTGGGAAAGTTGTTCCGCTATTTTTGCTTTAGCTGTTAAATGAAGGATTGGTCACTTCCTCTCAAACACAGTATTTTTTTTCGGGGTGAAAGAACGAGAAAGTCACTGCGACAGGAAAATGGTCGGTGCAAGCAGCTCGTGCGTATTTGTGATGAGCAGTTGTCAATATCCGCCCTTACTGTCTTATCTAATAATTCCTAGTGAGATGCAAGACAAAAGTTAGGCAGCAATTCACAAGAATGCACAAATGACCAACTTTGATTCAGTCTTTTTCAGCAAACCCTTGGTGAGTCGCCCCCGTCTTTGAACAGTGCGGGTGGAAGGTCATCCGGACCGGGAGCTCGGTGGCGCTTGTTCTCTCAAGTGCAGTCGTAAACCTCCGAGGCCGTAGGTGGTTCTACGTTCACCATCCAGGGTTCTACTTCACCTGTGGGCTCTAGATGAGCGCCGGTTGGTGGCCATGACAGTGTTGTTCGAAGTATTCAGCCCACCGGGTGGGGAGTACTTTGTTCGAGATGGTCGGTCCATTGTGACTTTTGAAAATTTCACTCACAGGTGGTTTCCTGGGACCGGTCGCACGGATCAACTGAAATAATCTCCGGGCATTACCGGCTTTCTGGGCCTTTTCGATTTCTCTGGATTGCTGTGTCCACTATACTTTACGGTCGGATCGCAAATTGACTTTCTCTTGATGTCTGATAACTCTTCGCACCGGGTTATGTTGGCGACCGACTGGGATATTTCTTCGAGATTTAAGTAGTGCCACCTTTCAATCTGATATCTAGGGCTTGGGTGCGCCTGGTTGGGTTGTGCCACAGGCAAAATTCCCAGCACTATGCACACAACACTTGAAAATGATCCCGTTCACGTGAACTAAATGTTCGAAAACGTTTCATCAAAGTGTCTCGGCATTACAATCATAAGTGGCACTAGTTTCCGTCTAATATCTTCATATTAGCACGAAGTTGCCTCACCGAAAGACAGGCACTTTTGAAACGAATCAAGGTACGCAGTTAGAGTTACCACATCCAGTTCTCTTGTTTGTCATTAAGCGTCTCCCTAACTTAGTCCGAGAAGAAATTGGTTTGTAGCAAATATATCAACAATTTCAATTCTTTGGTGGTAATAATGATCACCAACCAATCAGTAAGCCTGCTGGTCTCCTAATCAACCCANTGTGAGACTTGGCCTATTCGAGCAGCGGACCTGAGACGTCTTCAGGTGTTCGACAATCGTTGTCTCAGAACCATAGCTCGCGTGGGTTGGTGTCTGCGAATCCGTAACGAGGCAGTTAGGAAGCGTGTTTTCGGTTGTGTAACGGGTACTTTCATTGAAGAATGTGTCCAGCACCAGAAGCTGCGTTTGTTTGGGACATGTGTTACGTATCCCGAACCATCGTTTGCTGAAGAGAGTGCTGTTTTCCATGCCCAATTCAGAGTGGCGTAAACAGAGAGGTGGCCAACCCTTGACTTGGCGGAGGAGTATGAAGGAGATCACGAAACGCTTGGTTGCTGTCGGTGCTACTCGCTTTCCAGGATGGGGACCGCGTGATCCTCACTGTGCCTGGTTGGAGACACTAAAAGATATGGCTGCCAACCGATGTCAGTGGCGTTCTTGTTGTCAGTTTCTGTCCAGATTGCCTGAGTGAATGTCTGGAGGTGTAGGCACCTCGGAATGATTGTGTTAAGCTAGCACTAAGTCCTTCCCCCATCCACCTTTATTCTTTTCTTTACAATAAGGCTTTCGAATAAGTCATAGTTGTACGGCAGTGAAGCATCGGTGTTGAACACTGATGTCATGCTGTCGATGATGGTGATGATGATGAGTCACAACAATGTTTTCTACGTAATATATGCACAAACTAATTTGGGATAATGTCGGTTTGCTACGGTCGGATAACTGAAGTATTTATTGGGTATAGCCATTAGTGGGATACTGTACAATGAAGGTGATTTCGGATTTACAGGCGTTTGGTGTCGCTTCGCACGCCCTGAATCTCCGTTTTGGTTGAAATTCAGGGGATCGATGCGAAATTTCAAGTATGGTATTCAATTAGCGTTTTTGATTTTTCCTCTAACATTTTCCAATCCTTGCATTATTTCCAGCGTCTCCTTGTTCTCCCGAACATGGACGATGTATCTATACCTCTACTGCTGTCTGATGTGACCGCTGGGGAGGCCAAATGATGAACTCCTGGTGATTTGATCTTCGTTCAGCTTGTTGAAAACCAGTGAACAGTTCACAAAAGCGGCACGCGTTTAGGACCCAGTCACTTTTTACGGCCGACCGCCACATATGTGGTTTTGTCTTTCATATTGTCAGTGAGCTTTTTGTGCTATCTCAAGGAGCTTCATTTCCACCCACTCCAAACGTCTTCTGCTGCACTCGTGTACGAATGTGTCAAGCCACAAGCTGCTGTACACCCTCAGCCCTATTTACATATGATTTTCACCTTTGTTCGTATTATTTCTACCGTCATTCATTTAGTTAATGTTATTTCTGGGATCACTCCGTTTGTTTCCAGTCGCTTCTTCCTGTTTCCAACTTGAAATTGCAACGTGTAGTCCTTACACAACCGCGTTTCTTGTGATACGCTCTAATGACCTTGGACACTTGCAGCATCGTGTGACGACTTGCTTGTGATTTCGATCTGTTGCCATGTATGACCCAATTTGATTTTCAGCACGGTTTACATTTTGGCGCCTATTTGCATTCCGCCTTTTTCCACCGTCCTGTTTATGTTTTGGTCATGCACTACAACGAACTGTCACTTTTGGTGTTTCTTCCATTGATTCGATTTCCCGTCGTTATTGGGGTCCTTAGTTCCAAGCTGGAGGATGCATTCTCGGTGGCAACCAATGTGGATGGCTGCACATCTGCGGACCAACTTGTTCGGAAATAACACCCACCAGCAACACCACTGGCGGAGTAGGTTATTCACATTCCTCCGTGAGTGGAGATGTAGTCTGGATGAACGTACTGCGAAATTTTAGTAACAAATCCCCAGGGCCTCACAGCCATGATGTTCTCGTAAGTCACCACATTTATAAACAGGGGCCTGCTACTAAATACTACAAGCTATTGGCTAGTGTCAATGAAACTGCTCATTGTTCCAAAGTGCCCACATGCGTTTTCGGATTCAAGGTATTCCGTGCTTTCTTTGTTTCTCAACTTGATCCCAATCTACAAATGTTGTACTCCAACTACACGAAGTTTGTACTTGCTAGAAGTTCCCCGTGTGACAATGTGCGTATCAACGCCGCGGTCGACCGACAGACCAAGCTCCGTTGTGTTGAAATATGAAGACGAATCCAATGCCCATGGTCTTTGGGTGATATCCCATTTCATACTGTGAACTATTTTCAGATAAGCAATAAACGGAGCAAACTAGATCTTGTTGAAGTTGAAAGGTTCAGGGAAGGTAACACAGTCAGAGATGCTATACAGAAACTACTGCTCTCTACTCTCCACCAAGAGACAACGAATAGATCGCGTGTAAAGCATAGACCCGTAGGCGTAACTTTCCTGTCTGTCTTGTATCAGGTTATTGGACGAATTCGACTTGCCCGTTTTCCTGACGTGATCTCAAATGATCACACTGACTGGTCACAAGAGCCTTCTTGCATGGGTCTTGACGCTCCTCAAGCGGACAATTGAAAGTTTGTCCCAGTACGCTGTATGAAACCATCACGCGGTTTTGCTCGACTAGGCTCAACCAACTCAAGCCAGACTTCTGATACACATAAAGCAGTGCTCTATGGAACCGAAGGTGCTCCAAAGGACAATTCAACAGATGTTTCATCATCACGCCTGTCAGTAGTAATTTCCCTCGAAAGTACTACACGAGTAAGATATTTTTTATACAAGGACCAGCGTATTCGTCTTCGTTTAGTACTGCCTTTAGACGGACTATAGCTTACATCCTAATAGTATCATCGCTGGATACCCACTGACCTGACACGGGTTGCGACCAGGCTAGAACTTTCCCGGTTTTACATTTAGTCAAACCCGACTGAGACCGTCGCCAGGTTTTGATATGTTGAGGTTCGTACTGGAACATTGGTGAGAAATACGTCTGCGAATGAAATGGGTTTGCTGCTGAATATCTCCGCCGATCACACCAGTCGTTTTAGATTGTCATGGCGTCTGAACATTCGCATCAACCGGATTGCCATTTATTAAACGGAATTCCGCACCAATGACACCGTACCGCTCACATCGAGGCGCTGCTACAGCCAAGAAGCCTGTCTTGCGCGCGATTGCACAAAGGGTTGAACCGCTTGCCACCTGGCATCAACACGAGATCTGATGGTTCAGAAGTCTGAACCCAACAACCGGTCATGATCCAGTACCGGAATTCCAGTTGCCAATGATGCACCCAGAATGCGTCAGCATTTCCAGAACGTTGTCGCCGTATACACTTCATAGACGTGGTTTTAGACGTTAATGCACGTTGTGCACCTTTGATGGTTGTTTTGACAGCAACGCTAGCTTGGAAGGTTCAGATCAAGAACTAACCTGATGAAATACGTTTATGACACCATTCGCATAGAAATCTCATTCGGATAGCACTGCACGAATCCCTCCAGCTAGTACTTGTCGATGCGGCTATTAAATGAGTTATATTTCGTTGCGTGTTCGTCGACGGGGAAACTGAAGTTTCACTGTGAGTCCTACTACGTGTCTTGTAGGTACAGTGGTAGATTTGACCTGTCATATGGTGTGGAAATTCAATGTTAACGTGCAAATGATCAGTACTAAGTAATATATTTGTCTATTTATATATATTTGGCGTATTTGTCTCAGGGCTCAACGGAACCCCATAATCGGTTTCTCCATTCCATGTGTTATAGTTTTCGCGAACAACATGTTAGTATTGCTGCAGCTCATTAGTGTGGGCCATAAAACGAGTGCAGTAGTATGGGCCAAGAAACTTTCGTGGACTAAATAGAAGTACGGCACTTCTCATCCATCCGACTGGGTGGGTAATTTCCCAGTGAACTTGTTAGCCGATAAGTGCGAGACACTGTATCGCGAAATTTGTGAAAAATCAGGTACATGGAGTTGGTTATGCTGTTCGGGTATTTGAGAATCTGATTAATTGAACCGCTTGTAAGTGGCTTGCGAACAGGCGTAGTTCGGTTACATGTACCATGGCTCGTGTAGGCCTATGCATCCTACCAATCTCCATGATTCCAACGTCCTGCCTCATGTTTATATAGCAATAAAACAAAGCGACTGAATAAACAGGTTACCGAACAGAAATAACACCTTGAGGTGTTCCGTCGGGGACGCGTACAATAATCGCATGGGTGCCATGAGATTTCCTACAACCCACATCACGATAATCTGTACAAATGTTCCACGACATAAGAAGGAATATTCAACTAAAATGCGTAGGGATAATGTAATGACACCTAGTGCGTATAATGAACAGGTATACTCCTCTGTTAGAAACAAATTACAAAGCAAAGACAACTAAAGTTATTGATGGCTTGACTGCAGTAACTGATTCGTTTTGACATAAACATGAAGCAGTTAACCATGATCCAGAAAATCTAGCCAGTCTGGATGAAGCAACCTTGTAGGTCCGTAAATTGGTAGGAAAATGAACTCCTGGTGTGAGAACAGGCGAACATTCTGAGGGGAAGCGTATCTTAAATCGGGGCTTCTACGGTTAGCATACTGACTCAAGTGGAATAAATCAATCAGTCTTATCGGACCAAATGAAAGCTGTTGCAACATCTAAGTATTCATTTTACTACTCCCACTACTATAAAGGGGGATTTAGGGAAAGCAGGCCAAAAAAACTTGGTGGCGCAGGATTTTATGCAAAGATTGGTGTGGACTGATGATCTCAGTTACGTCACCTAAAGTTGAGAGCACAGAAACCGGTTATCTGCGCCAAAAATTAACAGGCCGACAGAGCGAAAAGTTGGGCCGGTGTTTATTAATCCTTGGTTGTTATCCTCGACAAACTTCTTTGACTGCATTCACTGAAGTGATAACCGTCAATTTGTTTTATCGCCCTCAAGTAGGGAGAGCGAAGAATGTACGGATAATTGAAGATAAACATAAACACGTGAAATGTAGCCCTCCAAACACCAAACCGTTTTCTGATGCTATGAGAGAGGTCGTGGTGTCAGAAAGTAAGGATCGTGCGACTTATGCAAGAACATCAGTGAGGCCAATACAATTAACTCTAGAACTGGTGCACTGAACAAAGTGAACATCATATAGGCGTAATACACTACGCATTAGGTTGCTGATAACTCTTCAAAGTCCATGACTGGTTTCGCCCCCCCCCCCCAGGGCCCGTCACGCAGACGCAACGACGCAACGCCCGAGTTCCCGTCAAATTTAGGTCTCACTTGAATCCAATCCCGAGAGACTCATTCGGGTTCAAGTGGAACTCGAAAACTTGTACTTGCCTACTTGATGGATCCCAAGAAGGGCGAAAACGGTCAAGGACTGGCAAAGTTTTCAACCATCTTATGGGTAATGAGTTACGTCTGAAAAGTGTTTTGTGAATTCTTGAATATCTTACCAATCGAAGCATGAGTCAGCACATCAGCTGAAGATTGATATCATAGGCGAGAATTTTATCTAGTCTGTCGTGAAGTCGAAATTGGTACGTGAATTAGTGTAATTGCAAAAATTGCAAATTAGCTTATGAGACTCAGGATTCGATAGTCCCGTCTGGTAGTTTTCTGACCAAAGTAAACTTGAAAATCTCCCGTTTTCAAGAATTTAGCAATCACACTTGTACTTACACTACTTAACTTTGCTGCAGTTGTATTCTGCGGGAGGTTATTTGGATTTCACTGATACCAGGAGTTATAGCAGCCCCGAGAAATCCAGTCTAAAGTGAGGTTCTAGCATACGGTGATCCATTTCTGGTCCAGCTGACGACTCTGACTGCTGAGCTGAAACGTATACTATTCGCTTTGTGTGCGCTGATAGGTGGTTTCATGTGACGATGCTTGGTATAGTACGAAGCTAGTGGCAATTTCGCGGATTATTGCAACAGTACACAATTGTATGGCGGGAGGTCGTTCGCTACTAAGTATGCTGGAGATGACTGATGCACTAAACATGTTGATTATTAGTTGACAAGGCACTGACTGCATTACACTGATGGCATTCATTATTGAGAATGAGGTTTTAGTCTTCTTGAATAAATAGTCAAACCTCCGCTGGTACTTCACAATGGCACGACACAGTATCTGAAAACTTCAGTACACTATTTCCGTCAAGGTAGTTTGTTCGAAGACAACTGATATATTTTGGTTATCAAAATGGGCAAATCTGCACACTTCATTTCAGTCGACAGAACATAGTTTTTAGTTTGACAAATGATACTAAGCAATAACAAATTTTGGTTAGTTTGTGGTCACCGAACTTCAACCAGCTCATTACTGCTAAAAAAGTGAGTCTTTTCAATACGTATCAGACCGTTGTAGGAAGTATTTGAGGACACTAATTACAAGGGAATGGGTACATGTAAGCTAAATTTCAAAACTAAAGCACGAAAATCACTCAGGCGCAATATAGGCTCATGGGCTGTTCAACAAGAAAGGCGCAAATCGTTCCATTATACCTTGGTGGACAGAAGGATTGCATACCACAAACGCGGACAAAGTGTACTATATGTGCAAGACCACGCCACAAATCTTTCTCTGTCGACGTTAGTTCTTGCCAGGTTACGGTGTAAAAACAGTTGGTTTGAAATACGAAGAAGATGACCCTTTCTAAGACGCGGGAGCCTGGTGCTGTTGATCTAGCATAGTTTCTGACGCAAGTATATGTTCAAAACTCACCCAGGTGCTATCTTGTACAATGGAGCGCGCAAGTGCTTCCGTATTATTATGTCCCTATATCCGTCAAACACCGTGACAACAGTTCAGTGCATCTGTGGTAGAATGGTGTGATATTTTGTCGTCA